ATACGACAGTTTATTTGCTGATCGGAATGGTAAATCGTAACATCTATGTCCGTGAGCATTTCACCAATTAATGGATCACATATGGAATATGCTACATATCTGGGTTGGGGATTGTTGATTTTACGAGCATAGCAAAATCTATGTCCAGTCAATATATCAATAGATGGTTCAGAGTCGTTTTTAGAGCTACGTACATGGTACTTTACATCTGTTACACGCTCGGCAAAAGAGTCCACCCACTGTGCAATTTCAGAATTGGGTACATGAAGTGGGATTCCGTGTATGGAAATCCGAATATCTCTACGGTGTCTATATGACAGAGTTTCCTTTTGTAAATAATAGTCACTAAGGCTAAATTGTCTGTTGTTGATTGTGACACTTCCTAGGGAAAGAAGTTTGGCTTTTGAAACTTCACTGTCAGAGTATACTATGTAGGCTTTCTGATATAATTGAATGCCTAGAATATTACTTGGGCTAAATGCTTCATTATCAAAGTTTTCCTTCATATTTCGAATAATAGCACCAGCTATTTCCGTCTCAGATATGCGTCCAATTCCTTTTGATTCCATTTTGATCCACAATTTTGTGTTTTTTAACAAATTGGTTTTCTCCTCAATACCATCCATTTTGACTTTTGAGATGGTCCCTCAAATATATTGCACAGCACCTCACATGAATTTCCAAAACTAGGTCAGTTTTATACAGAATTTACGATACTTAGTAATACGAAAATGACGGTTACCATACTCCTAGCTCTGAATAAAGTTTATAAAGCGGGAAATTTGAGTATTCATATTCATTTGAATCTGAATAAAGAAACACTTCCACCTTTGTAGAGTAAATCCACACAATTTAAGGTATATATCACACCTAATATAGTATCTCTCTTGTAAAACGAAGATGTAGTGTTAATTTGATGTTATCTATGGCATAAAGACAGTCAGTATAAATGTGAAAATGAATATAAAAACACTTTTCTATCATTCAATTTGAATTGAAGCTATAGTCTTGCGTTTTCTATGTCATAAATTACGTTACCATAGGTAACGTAATTGATAAATTCTATTGCACACATTTTCTGTCGTCAAATCTTTACAGGTATGTTCATTTATCAACTTGTATACTTTTCGTAGATGGGAAAGCATCCTGCTGAAATTCAAAAAGACTATAGTGATAGGAAAAAGCACCAAAAAGAGCGTGCTCGGGTTCATAAATGCATTGTCTCAATAGCTGAGTGCACTATCTGAAAAAGATAAAGACCATAAAAGAAAAAATTATGTCATTGCGCCCGAGACATGTTATGTTAGTCTCAGATAGCGTAATAATACAGGAGACAAATCAAAAAGGAAAGAGAGACTGTTAGCAATGACCCAAGTAATGCCGATAACAATGATTGTGACCGTGTTTATGGCAGTGGTACAAGTAACACACAATTAATAGTTCATATAAATTTTGCCTGGAATTTTGCAAGAGGACATGCATGGCTCTTAAGAAAACGGATAAGTAGAACTTGGGGACGTACGTACCCATAAGAGAACAAAGCTCCCTGAACATAGATAAACATGGAAAAAACAATCACAAATCATTCCAAAGGATCTTACAGAAGCAGAGAAAAATAGAACCAAGGGTCCAAGCACGCCAAAAACACCAAAGAGTGCAGGGGTGATGCGATGCAAACTTTAACATAGTGATATCCCTAGAGTTGAGGAGAAGATTAGTACGAGGAAAACACGTAGTTGAAGAGTTGAAGCAGACGCAACATGACTGGCGGGGAAATGCCTGAAAGAGTGTTCAAGTCTAGTTGATATAATATGACTAAAGGCGATGGAAGGTGATACAAGCTTAATGGCCTTGCTTGGCTGGACAAAAATTAAATGAGTACTCGACGTTTACCACAAGCAAAGGAATATAAATTTGTTGAAGCAAATAAACAGTGTTAAAAGCGCCCCGCACAAAAGTGAAACAAACCAGGAATGACATACAAGAAGAGACAACATAGCTATCCAAGAGTAATCTGACAGGGCCATCATGCAGACTGAGAGATGAGATAAAGAGCTACATCTTGGCGATTTTTTCACTGCAGTTTACAATTACTGTTGGTATGTCGAAAAGGCACTGCATGTAGATACTGATGATAATAAATACTATTTTTTAAGAAAAGAAGAATCTCCAATGGTCTCTAGAATGTTACGTTATTTGGCTGAGAGTCTCAGATTTTGAGTGTGTAGTAGAGGAGTCAATTCCAACAGGGAAGTTTAAAGGGCTATTTAAACTCTAGATCTGTGTCCTGAGATTAAAACTCGTGTTCTATGGGATTTATATGTCCAAGCTAGGATTAAGGAACGTTTTCAGGAGTTCATATGTACCTATGATATTAGAGGAGACACTGAATGTTGTTACTTTTTGACGATAATCACAAATTATATAGTATAGTTTTGATCTTGCGATTGTAAGTTTTGTAATCACTTACGTTACAAAGGATTTAGCATTACAAATGTGTGAAGAAAGACTAAGTCCCTTTAATCCTGTATATATTCATTCCAACATATAGCGTATGTGACAATATATTAATTCATTACGTGTTTTGTGCATAAATAATGTTTGTGTTAGCTTTAATGTTTCTATTGCAAAAGTTAGTTAATTTCTCCATCATTTACGTTACTTGATAGTCCACTGAACTATGTTTGTTTTAAATGTTACTATTGGTTAAAATGCAGTGTAAACATGATAAAAGAAGCACCAGTTGATGGTTTAACCATGATCACATATGATATGACTTATTCTACGATGTTACTATTTTTGGATCATATACGTTACCAAGGGTGTAAAGATATACAAATTTCAAATAAATTTTGTATGGCATATCAAACACCAAGATATGGCTATCAATTGATTCTGAACACTATTTCTAATCAGAAAAGAAAGATAAATTTAATGTTAACAGACTGATTTTCTATAAAATTGGAATGACATGTAGCACTTAAGTTTTGTTTCTGAAAAGGAATAATAAGTCACATGTAATTGTTGACTTCAATGTGAATTCTTTCCACTTATGTCTCTTCAAAATGCCTGATGTATGATTTAGTATTAAGACAAAATATATCGTTATTGTTAGGAACAAATACAGACATGAGAATAATATGTTGAATGAAAATATAGGTCTCTTGCTACGACAACCCTCTATAACGTAAATGACAGAGACTTACTTTTTTAAATAAACACTAGATAAGCTTCAACATGTGACTTTTCCATGAAGGGGTATGAGATTGATATTTTGACTTTAGATACTTAACATATATTCAAACAAAAATACATCAACTTTAAACCATTCAAAGCTACTTTAATTTTCGTCAGATTCATACCTGGAATTTGCATTCTTATTGAGAATGGATGATATACTGTATACAACATGTACCTAGGTATTCAAAGGTGATATATGACAAATACACAGCTAGGGTTTACCTCCAAAGCTGTCTCTTCATAAATACTAGAAAAGTACACAGATATGTCTCAAAATACACTTATACTTTTACATTTAGACTATAGCCTTGCCCAAGTCGGTCTCTTTTACTTATTTTGATTGGTAATATTTCAAGATCAGATAATAAAAAAATACTGACTTGGGCAAGGCTATATAGACATGTACATTTTTTTAAATTGACAGCCTTCATAAATAGACAACTATATGTTTACAAATATATAGACCATTATATTTTTATAAAGACAGCTATGTTTTTATAAATAGATGGCTATATTTCATAAATAGACAGCTATATGTTTACAAAGACCACTATAGACAGTTATGTTTTTATAAACAAACAGCTATATTTTATAAATAGACAGCTTTATTTTTACAAGTATACATCCATGTCTTTATGGCCTTGTTTAAGCTATAGACAGTTGCATATCAATTCATGGCACTATAAGCAAAGATGCAAAACACCGTACATGTATACATGAAATAACATGAGTTGCCAGGCAAGGCAACCAAACTTTCACTATTCAAATAAGGCCAATTTTCATCAGATATACTTCCTGAATAAATAACAGTCTCATGCTTATGTCTTTTGTTTAATCATTCTGGGGCATAGCAAGAATCTAAAACAAAGTGAGGCTTATTTAAATGGAAGGAAGCAGTGTTTTACTAAAAATGATTACATAATTCAGTGTAGCTTCCTAGATTCTCAGATCTAATACACTTTTACAATACAATGACTCTTATAATTTATTGACTTGATAATACTCAGATATTCATTTCAATATCATTCTAGGCTATTTTATTATTGTTATTATTGTGAGATACTTTAAAAAATGGCTACAATGGGCAATACAAAGAGAGCCTTATAACAAGAAATTATTCAAAAACATTTTTGTGTTGTTTGAAGAGGAGTCTCACTCATGCTGAATATGAATGTAAAATCAACAATTATTCAGACATAAAAGGGAAATAAGTGCCATCTTGGTACTCAAATAATGACCCATGTGCTATCTTAGTACTCAAATAATGACCCATGTGCTATCTTAGTACTCAAATAATGACCCATGTGCCACCTTAGCACTCAAATAATGACCCATGTGCCATACTGCAAGAATATCTTGACTTGACATTGAGCTTCTAAAAAGCTGGTAGCTAAAATAACATTTTAACACAAACATTTATTTCTGATTGCAATTTACGGCTTTCACACCCAGAACTGGAAATCCCAAATCATGAACCATTCAAACTTGAAGCTTGGACTACTTTACAGTAGATTCAAGTTCTTGGTTTTTCCGACATGTACTAGTAATTGCTGGATCACGCTTTCTTAAGATCATATGACAATTAATTTAACTTTAATCAGTTTTATGTTTTTTCCAATGGTCAAATAATGTTTCAATATTTTAATTTGTGAGATAAGTTCTGATTCTTGTCAGCACTGGTGCAGAATTCCTATTCTGATATCATATTTTTACCACTTGTTTTAGGCACAATAGAAAAGAGCATGAAACTATGTTTCAATATATAAGTGCCTGGGAGACAATGATGAAATAATAACCTCAAAACCAGGTTGTCATGGATACAAATAAAACACTGAACAACTAAGCAAAAATGAAAGTTACCAATTACATATAGTCAAATCTGTAATACAGCATACAGTCAAATCTGTAATACAGCATACAGTCAAATCTGTAAACAGCATACAGTCAAATCTGTAATACGAGCAGTAAATTGCATTCAGAATTAATCCATAAAACCTATTATTCGGTATCATTATTGAGCCTGCGCCGCAAGTTTTTGAGCTTGCTTTTTGGCTTCTTTTTCTAATTTTTCTTTTAGTTCTTTCTGTTTAAAAAAGTCCCTTGTTGCTTCTTGTTCTTCTTCAGATGAGAGGTAACTGAAAGCAGAATAAGACAACATTGAAGTTTAAATCAAAATATTACATTAAACAGCACAACCTGTCATTGTACATGTATATCTCTGAATAACTCTCAAGTCTCAACAATTCTCAATGTGATGTTTCTTCCAGTCCCATTTTTTAGTTTCATGTTAAACAAACTTGAACTGTAAACACAGGGCACCTGTAAATCAGAACAAACAATGTAATTCAGATTAAACAGGTTTTAGAAATCATTCAACTTTAGGGAGTTTATAAACCTACGTAAAGCCCTGTTTAAATTGTGCATAATAATAAGAAAAATATTGTAACTTACTAATATTTGATAAACCTAGAGCCCTGTGTTAGTTGTGCGCATTCATTGGAAAAATGGCACGCAAATAGTAGTAAATTCCTTGGCTGTACTTTCCAGGCAAATCTCATGAATAACATGGAGTAAATTGAGAGAGCTGAAAATATAAAATAATCGTTTGTACGTGCCAAAACATTTGTCATTTATATGTGTATTTTTAACCATATTCTCTGCAATTAGGACCTAGGGTGATTAGAAAATTGAAAATACATCCTTCAGACCAATATATAAGGGTTTGCGCTTATATAAAAGAAGTAAAAATCCCCCGGAATTTCATGTATGCCAATTTTTCAACAATTTAAAATCAATATTAAAAAATTGTACATTGTTTCTAAATCTCAGAAATGATACTTTATAACAATGTTTCATATTTGTAACAGATACCTGCCAATTACCATATGTCAAAAATGACACCAGTCAATTACCTGAAGTCAAAAATGATACCTGCTAATTACCCAAATTCAAAAATGATGCCTGCCAATTACCTTAAGTCAAGAATAATACCTGCCAATTACCTAAAGTCAAAAATGATGCCTGCCAATTACCTTAAGTCAAGAATAATACCTGCCAATTACCTAAAGTCAAAAATGATACCTGCCAACTACTCAAAGTCAACAATGATACCTGCCAATTACCTTAAGTCAAGAATAATACCTGCCAATTACCCAAACTCAAAAATGATATCTGCCAATTACTTAAAGTCAGAAACGGTACCTGTCAACTACCCAAAGTCAAAAATGATACCCGCCAATTACCTAAAGTCATTTTTCCACTTATCATTTCTGGATTCCTTTTAGTGTCTGCTATTGCTGCTAGGGGGAGCCCCCAGTTGGCCACAGGACCCCAGAAATGCTGAAAATACAATGTTAGATAAGATGTAGATAATGGATAGATATATACCATTGGATGGCTACATATCATTGAGAATATATACCATTGGATGGCTAGATATCATTGAATTAATGAATAAACATAATTATAAACATGGTTATGACATGTTTTATGTTTTTTTCTTGAAGTCAATATGAGACCCTTTTAATTAGAAATTTGTCATCTAAACAATTTTTAGTAAATTCAAAATTATCAAACTCATTTGTTTAATTAAAAAAGGCATAATATAACTCTCCGACAAAATCTACTTAAAGTATATTTCAAGTAAATCTCATTTATAGTGTTTGATATGGTGCTAGTTTCTTTGATATTTGAATTTTAATTATCTGAAGTGAATGCTGTCAGTATTTTAGAATGACTAGTATTTATGAAATCCCTAGTATTTATGAAATTAATCAAGTTGAAAAGCTGAATTTAATTTTGATGAACATTATGTTGATAAGTTGACTTAACTCAGTTCAATTCCCCATATCAGTTCCACTATCTACCAATGTCATTTGTGGGCAAGATGAGCACATTAATGAGATTATAGAGGAGGGAAAACCCCAGGGTTCAGAGAGGACATTGTATTATAATGGAATTTTTTATTGAGAAGAAACCGTCGCTGATTGGTCAAATCGACAGACAAATGACATCATTCAATGGCGGTTTGAAAATATTCTAAAAATGCTTTGAATAATATAATGTTAATTTCTGGCATATTATTATTTTATCAAGATTTAAAGAAAAATGTACAGAATATGCAAACAAAAATTAAAACATCACAACAACGATGTGTGGTTTTCAGAAACTTGCTGGATAAAATTCGAACAAAGTCAAACAAAGGTGGTAAGCAAGAGATGTAATTACATATATCTCTGTTATCTCTAAGCTGTGCTCAGGGATTTTCCCTCCTCTTTGAGATTATTAAACAGATGTCAAAAATAACAAAAGTGACAGTGAAATGTAAGTAGTACTTACAGTGCTGTTAATGTCGATGTTGTTTGTTGATGTTGTTTGTTTTCAATGACAGGATTGTTTGCAGGCAATTGGATTGATTGTTTGTTGATTGTTCATCATTACATGAATCATCAGATTGTTTGTTCATCGCAACATCAATTGTAGGTTGTTTGTTCATCATTACATCATTCATCAAGTTGTTCGTTCATCGCAACATCAATTGTTCATTGTTCGTTTATCATTTATCAGGTTGTTTGTTCATCGCAACATCAATTGTAGGTTTTTGTTCATCAAAGCGGCAATCATCGGTGTTTTTAAGAAAAAGAGAAAGACATACAGTATAAATAATATGATTATGCCAAATCATTATAAATTCTGGAAGTTTTGATACACTTTACTTTGAGCACATGTTAGTACCGTTAGTAACTATGTTTTTTCATATAGATGGCAATGCAATCTTTATTTATGAGAGATTAGAATCATACCTACATGTACCACTCATTAGGCATTTAGATATGATACCTCTGTGTGTGTCTGAGAATATATATGCACAGTAAAGTAAAGTAACGATAAATTTCTGGAATATCGCAAAAATTTACTCAAAATTAAGGTGACTGTTAACTTAATCGATTTTCAGAAAAAATTGAAAATTTCACAATCTTGAAATTTTCAAACTCTTCCTGAGAAGTCGTTTTTATTATTTCACATATGCTTGTGCAATGTAATCATTACAAAGACATCAAAGAAGTTTGAGAAAGTTTGAGAAAAAAAGTGCCCTTTAAAGAATTTGAGAAGATTTTTTTCTAGGAGTAGCCCGTGAAAAACCGCTGATTCAAAATATCTGAACATTTCAGAAAATATACTTCAAACATATATCAAAAACGAAGGAGCAACGGAAATTTGAAAAATTACCCGATAAAAAAATTGGGATCAAAATAAGGAAAAAAGTACACTTCTCAAATTGTTTTTTTCTATTTTTTTTTAATTTGTATGAGAGATTTCAAAATTCTAAAGCTCCTTCCATTTTGGGCTATATCAAAGGGATGTTTCAGAGAAATTAGAAAAAAAAATGTTCAGGGACCTTTGCCGTGCTACTCTTTTTGTCAATTTTTCTGTCACATTTTCAGAGGAATCAAATTCCCATTCCAAAATGTTTACTGTCTATATTTGCATTACCACAGTGAGCCTGGTTATATAAATGATAAGTGGAACTAAAAAATTGAGAGAAAATCCAACCAAAAGACAGTTAATTTTGATGGTCAGATTATACTCAAATGCCATGTGCTTCCTGGTTTCGGCCATCTTGGATTTTTTGATTAAGTTATAAGTTACCTTAAGGGGATCGCATAATTGCTTGAATTTTTTAGGCATAATTGGGGTGGAGTTCGCTCAAAACCCTCCGAACCCACTATCCCTATTGCCCTGTTCCATAGTCTATGTGCTGATGGGTAGTTGGAAGTTCAATACAATAAGTAGATCTATACATAAATATCAGGTTACATGACAGCCTGTATGACTGCCAAATGTCAGAAATTATGATAAAGATGTGTATTATCCATTTGAAAAACATCAATATTTCTGATTAAAAGATTCCGCATTTGTACCTCGTTCAATAGATCTAATATGCAGGAAATTCTGTTCACTGTCATGTCAGACTGCTTGCTGATATTCATGAATGTAAACTAAATTCTGGAAGACCAAATCTCCTGCATACCTGAATCAACTGATATATTTTTGCTACTGATCAATCTGGAAGACAGACCACGTATTCTATTACTAGATCTAGTATATATGGTCTGTCTCCCAGGCTTGCCAATAGATGTCAGGATAGCCTTCCTGCACTTTTCCCAAGAAAAATTCTGCCATCTGTGATACAGACTGTAGTTTGGTCATGTCTATCGTTGCTATTGATGTCTGTTTTTATCGCAGATGATATAAGAATATATAAATTATATCAAACTTAAAATATACCTGCACAAATACTGTCTAAACTCCTTACTTCCAACATATTTGAAAAACTTTCCGAAACTGTTGGCAGCCATCTTTGGAACGAGACTTAAAACCGGACGCGAAGTCAAACGAGATTTTAAAATTTACAAAATGCAGGGCCAACAAAACATGCCGATGCCCCCGGGCAGTGATTTTGGTCTCCAGGCGGCAAGAGAAAGAGCACTGCGATCTGTCTTCGGTATGTTGAATATTACATTTACTCAAAAAATCACTTTTGCACAGTTTTGTGCTGTAGATTCAGAGTTTCACATCATAAAGTATTGAAAAATATTCCATTGATTTGAAAACAAGAAAATTGGAGTCGGGGCAATCTGCGCGAGATTCGGTTTTTACTTGGTTCGGTTTTTCATTAAAGAAAGTATTTCACTCCCATGATTCAAAGTGCTTTTCTGCCATCGGTTCGGTTTAAGTTTGTACAACACACGTCTACAAATCCGGGGCAGGTTGATATTATGTCATTACATTTGTTTTGGGTGTATTCTTTTTGTTTTGGCACAAAACAAAAATATTCCCACAATATATGGTGCATTATGGGTAGGGACTGCTGTGAAATAATGAATGGAAGTGACATCTACCTCAAATTAAATGTTCTTATTAAGTTATTAATCGCGCATGATTGATTATAATTTGAACCAATTAAATTGCTGGATTTAGTGCGCATGCGCTAAAAACCGAACCTAAAAATGGAATCTCGCGCAGATTGCCTCTAGTGGAAAATTGCAGCAAACTCCCCGTAAAGCTCACAGACCTCTGCCAGATTACCTCCTGTGTCTAGGCTCAATAAATATACTCAAGGACTAAAGCCACACATCCAAGAAAGCGTCTGTTGTTAAAATCATAAAATAAGCGATCGTATATCTTCGGCGGCTATATCCATTGTTCAAATGATTATTCCCGAAGTCAAATGCCTTTTCTGAGAATGTGACGCCACTCCGGATGACGTCACATCAGAGATTACCGAGAAGTCCCATGACGTTTCTTTAAACTCCTGTAGAAACAATAACAACGGTTTGGCTACGGGATCCTTTACTTTCATTGGCTGTTTGTGATGTGACGTAATTTGATAGACGAACAACATCGGGTACCGCCAGAAATTACCGAATCACTCCATTATCTTTATGCTCTGAAAATTTGAAACAAATGTCCCAGGAAAATTCGAATTACAGCGTCAATGGATATCGTGCAACCATTCAAGCTAATACATAAAGAAGAGATAACAGGGTAAATATCGATCAATCTATGTCTGACAGATGGAAAAAATAAAGGTCAGTACATATTTTTGGATGGTCATTTTTTGATGTACCATTTTTTGCTTGAGTCTCATCTTCCCATATGTCCTTTGAGCCTACTACCAATAGGGGCTGGATCTGGCTCCGGATCTGTGGTAAGGCTAGCCTAGTCCTGGTCACCAGGACCTTGTATCAACTCCTGACATATATTGGCCAACCAAGAAGACAGAGATGTAACCTTATTACAAGGACTATCATATCCTGCTGAACAAAAATCACCACTCCCAAAATAAAAGTTCGAAGTATGTTAGCCTATAGTCTCTAGCAGTATAAGGGGTTACTTAGGTCCAAAGCCTTCTCTATATTCCGGCTTTGAGTGATTGTTACAGCTGACTAAATCAATATTTGTAAATCATGGTGACATACGCACATTTGTAACGGTATACTTAAATAAAACATACCTTTATGCATACATTTGCAGAATATCAGCTCATATCCCCATCTTAAGGTAATGGTAAAGTTAATAAAAAGTACAAAAAATGGCAGCCATATTTTTTTGATAAGTCACAAGATTTTGTATTCTGTTTTCCTTATATATGAATGCATTTCCTGACTAAAGAGACATGTCAAAGAAAACTTCACATTTAAACACATTTTTTATAACTATGAATTGGAGGTGCTTGGGTCCCTAAAGCTAGCAAGGAGACAGTGAAATGAGGATAACTTTTCAAAATTTCAAGGAGTGGGATTGCGATGGAGACATATTTGTAAGACTCCAAAATTTCCACAAATCATCTTACCTTGCCAAGGAACATCAAAACATCAACTTTAGCATGAAAATGTGTACTTCTTGCATTGTTAGAGTAGAATAAAGCTCAAACCATTGTGAATTCTAAATATTTCATGTCCACTATTTTTTTGCTTGGACTATTTTCTAGTCCAAAGTAATCCTCACTCATGTATCCATTGTTTAATCATTTATAAAACCTCAATTATGTATCTATCATGAGTATTATACTTAGATAAAATATACTAGTAATAATCCATGCCACTTGGTGAAGTCACAAAAACTTGTATGAGGATTAATAAGAAAAATATAGAAGTTAGAGCTGGCATCGAATAGGATTTTAATGTCGACATGTCGGAGCTCTTGATCGACAACGATATCGACATTGTCAGGTCCAATGATATTCGAAAAATGAAAAAAATTTTGAAGAAAGACCGTCTGAATTTTAGATTTTCTAGGCTTGTAATTAGCAATACGATGCACAATAGTCATCCTCAGTTGTATGTTTTATATTTAACTTACAGGTAAACCATGTTCAAGTATCAGACTTTGACGAAAACGCAATAAATAGACATAAAACTACGATTTCTGTTGTTATTTCCGGGCAGCCATTGAAAATAAATCTCGAGGGTAAATCTCGAGGGGCACCGAGACCTAATTCGAGAGCAGGAAGTCGATCAAAACAAAAAAGAAAATTTGAAAATGTAGGCAGTAAACTTCACTAAAATACACCATACAGCAGGTATTAACAAAGATTTTAATTCATAGGGAAATAGCTTATTATGTTGTGAGTTCTGACTGTCGATCAAGAGACGTTGTGTCGACATGGGTGTCGCAGAGAGCATTCGACTGACAATCGACCATTCCGACATTTGATGCCAGCTCTAATAGAAGTAGTTCCGGCAAACAAAATGGTGGACATGAAACTATGGTTTGAGCTTTATCATACTCTAACAATGCAAGAAGTGCACATTTTCATGCTAAATTTGATGTTCCTTGGCAAGGTAAGATTATTTGTGGAAATTTTGGATTCTTGCAAATGTGTGACTTGCAAGGCTATACTCCTTGAAACTTTCAAAAATTAACCTAATTTCACGGTCTTCATGCTAGCTTTGGGGACCCATGCACCTCCAATTCATAGTTAAAAAAATGCATTTAAATGTGAAGTTTTCTTTGACATAGTCAGGAAATGCATTCATATATAAGGAAAACCGATACAAAATTTTGTGACTTTACCAAAAAAATATGGCTGCCATTTTTTTGTACTTTAGAATAACTTTACCATTACCTTAATCGATTGTTATATATATTTTAATTTAGCCAACTGAAGTGGGATTTCATTTCAAAATGGCCTCCATTTTTCTGCCGAGTGAGCTGTATTAATGGCAGGTCCTTGAGTTTGAGGCAGACCCTAAGATTCGGAATATTTGATACAAGTCCTTTGGACTTGTAAGTCAAAAATTTACAAGTCCATCCAAAAAATACAAGCCAAAAAGGACTTTTAAATCTGAACGTTACAAGTCCAATAAATCACTTACCATATTCTTTAGGGGCGCTTAGAAAAATCAGAATAATAGAGTTGTCCAACTGAGCTCTATATGTACTTGGTCCTGAAGACCCCCTCCCCCACCAACCATCTGTGTTTTTAATGTGCCCATATATGAAAGAAGAAAAACAGGAATTTCATGAGGCTAGTAAAGTTTTCTTGCCAAAAATCAGAAACATCAGAACGGGGTATGAGCATATCTCTGCAATAATGGCATGGATTGTTATTGGAGAGTTTACCGTAAAGATCGCTAAATGAACCAAGAATCAATTGCAAAAATTCCCAATAGAGCCCTGCGAATTGAATGAAGAGTTTTCCCGGATTATCTTTATCATTTCCGCAAAAGATCGTCGGATATTTATCTAGTGTTATACCTCAAGATCCCACTCAAGTTAACTGTAAAAGTCTTAAGAATATCGAGAAATGTTAAAAAGAGAAAGAAAATTTTATTCTAAAGTTCATGACCTTGACCGTCAAGTTCACATGCGCAAACGGCAGCAAATTTAATTGGTTATTGCGAGCTGAAGTTAGGCATATAAGCCATTGAGATCACGCCTTACTTACGTGTGCGAGCGGAAGTAAGCAGATTTATAAATTTGAACCAATGAGGATGCGACTTACTTACCTGTTTGGATCGGCATCCACGGAAAAACAAAATGAAAAATGAAATTGAAGTTTCAAACTTTTATTCATATTACCGCGGATCAAGGAAACCATGACCAATTATGACGTATATAGTCAAACAAGGTAAGCTCATAGGTCGTTTTGAAATACGCCAGGGGGACTTGTATTTTGTGACGAAGCACGCCAGCCACTAAAACTAGACTCGGGTAAATAAGGGGTATTCTCTGCCATAGGAATTTCCCACAGATGGCAGAATTTTTCTTGGGAAATACCTCCTAAAGAAAGCAAATCCTGATATCTGTGGAATTTCCGAACAGACCCTTGGCATCAGGTGAAAATCTGGGGCATTGCCACCTGATCAGTTACCGTTTACGTTAGCATGACCATATCGATAAAAGGATATGTCTAATTTGAAGTTTCAATAAAGAAATCGTATAAAACAAAAATATTGAAGATCGCCACTCTCTTTCATGTCTGTATCTGGCTTGTTACACCATGGCTCCCTTGAGGCGCCATCAGGGGAGTGCCAGATTCATTGATATAATTCCTCAGTTTTGTGAAGTGGAACTTTTAAAATGGTAACAATCTGCACACACTTTCTGGGGTTTCAATAACAGCCGACAAAACGCCGCTTTAAATCCCTGTTACGCCGGTTTAAATTTTGAGAAAAAAAAATTGAAAAATAAAGTTTTACTGTGGAGGACGGGTTTGAAGAGTTCCATCAAATTATTACTGTGGGGGATGGGTTTGAAGAGTTCCACCAAATTATTATTGTGGAGGATGGGATTGAAGAGTTCTACCAAATTATTACTGTAGAGGATGGGTTTGAAGAGTTCTACCAAATTATTACTGTGGGGGATGGGGTTTGAAGAGTTACACCAAATTATTACTGTGGGGGATGGGTTTGAAGAGTTCCACCAAATTATTATTGTGGAGGATGGGATTGAAGAGTTCTACCAAATTATTACTGTAGAGTATGGGTTTGAAGAGTTACACCAAATTATTACTGTGGGGGATGGGTTTGAAGAGTTCCACCAAATTATTATTGTGGAGATGGGTTTGAAGAATTACACCAAATTATTACTGTGGGGATGTGATTAAAGAGTTCCACCAAATTATTACTGTCAGTGGAGGATGGGTTTGAAGAGTTCCAAAAATTATTACTGTAGAGGATTGGTTGAAGAATTCCACCAAATTATTACTGTGGGGGATGGGGTTTGAAGAGTTACACCAAATTATTACTGTGGAGGATGGGTTTGAAGAGTTCCACCAAATTATTACTGTGGATGATGGGTTTGAAGAGTTCCACCAAATTATTACTGTGGAGGATGGGTTTGAAGAGTTCCACCAAATTATTACTGTGGAGGATGGGTTTGAAGAGTTCCACCAAATTATTACTGTGGAGGATGGGTTTGAAGAGTTCCACCAAATTATTACTGTGGAGGATGGGTTTGAAGAGTTCCACCAAATTATTACTGTGGAGGATAGGTTTGAAGAGTTCCACCAAATTATTACTGTGGAGGATGGGTTTGAAGAGTTCCACCAAATTATTACTGTGGAGGATGGGTTTGAAGAGTTCCACCAAATTATTACTGTGGAGGATGGGTTTGAAGAGTTCCACCAAATTATTACTGTGGAGGATGGGTTTGAAGAGTTACACCAAATTATTACTGTAGAGGATGGGTTTGAAGAGTTCCACCAAATTATTACTGTGGAGGATGGGTTTGAAGAGTTACACCAAATTATTACTGTGGAGAATGGGTTTGAAGAGTTCCACCAAATTATTACTGTGGAGGATGGGTTTGAAGAGTTCCACCAAATTATTACTGTGGAGGATGGGTTTGAAGAGTTCCACCAAATTATTACTGTGGAGGATGGGTTTGAAGAGTTCCACCAAATTATTACTGTGGAGATGGGTTTGAAGAATTACACCAAATTATTACTGTGGAGGATGGGTTTGAAGAGTTCCACCAAATTATGACTGTGGAGGATGGGTTTGAAGAATTCCACCAAATTATTACTGTGGGGGATGGGGTTTGAAGAGTTCCACCAAATTATTACTGTGGAGGATGGGTTTGAAGAGTTCCACCAAATTATTACTATTAGATGATCTTTCTGCATTTCAGTGGGGAACATTTCTTACGACACAACTGAGGAACAATTGAGGGAAATATTCAGCCAAGTTGGACCAGTCATTAGCTTCAGGTAAATTTGTGCTTCATTAAACAATGGGTGCTTCATTTCTGAATGTGTGCTCTATTAGATGGGTGCTTCATTTCTGAATGTGTGCTCTATGGTTTGAATGTGTCATTACTGAATGTTCGCTCTTAAATGCTCGCTTAATTATTGAATTGGTGCTTTATTGTATGTGCGATTTATTACTGAATCTGTGCTTTATCAATTGCTGGATTTCAGTATATGCTAAGGTGCTCAAACCAATATACTAGCAATATTTTTGTTCTTTTTCTGTAGGCTGGTATATGACCGAGAAACTGGGAAACCAAAAGGTTATGGATTCTGTGAATATGAAGACGTTGAAACTGCACAGAGTGCTATGAGGAACCTCAACAACTTTGACCTGAGTGGACGTCCTCTGAGAGTTGGCGTGGCTGCAGGGGAACAGACAGCCAAAGAGGAGAGTCGGGCAATGCAGCAAGCTCTTGGCGGAGTAGCACTTGAGGTCAGTAGGGGGAGTAGCACTTGAGGTCAGTAGGGGGAGTAGCACTTGAGGTCAGTAGGGGGAGTAGCACTTGAGGTCAGTAGGGGGAGTAGCACTTAAGGTCAGTAGGGGGAGTAGCACTTAAGCTCAGTAGGGGGAGTAGCACTTAAGCTCAGTAGGGGGAGTAGCACTTGAGGTCAGTAGGGGGAGTAGCACTTAAGCTCAGTAGGGGGAGTAGCACTTAAGCTCAGTAGGGGGAGTAGCACTTAAGCTCAGTAGGGGGAGTAGCACTTGAGGTCAGTAGGGGAGTAACAATTGAGATAATAGGGGGAGATCACTTTGATATTTGAAATTTTCCAGGTTTAAATTAGTGATGAATGCCATGTTGTGTAACTAACTACCAAGAAGTTGTAATAATTCTTATTCTTATAGTTAACTCTTGTGAACCATTTGGGATTATACAATCAGCTTCTTAATCAAATACAACTTTTCTAACTTTTTGCAAGCTGTGACTCTCTTCATTCACATCCACACTTTGCCATCTGAATTAAATATGCTTTTTGACTTGATATTATGAAATAAATCTTTCCAAATATGTTTTAGAATCTCCTATAGCTACCAGGGTTGAATTTGAACATTTTAAACTGACCATAAATAAAACTTAAATTTTTCTAAATTTTTATTTCAGAGTCCATATGGAGAAGAGGTTGAGCCTGAAAAAGCCCCAGAAGCCATATCTAAAGCTGTGGCCAGTTTACCACCAGAGCAAATGTTTGAGCTCATGAAACAAATGAAGGTATTCTGATACTATTCAAAAATTGAACTTATGTATTATATCAAATTAAAATTTATTTCACCATTTCACATATCAATGGGTTAAAAGTCATGACACTAAGTTGATGAAAGATATTGTGTTTCATTTGTTTAACATATTTTACTTGTCTTAACATTCATTTAATGCTGTTTGTTGTAGTTGTGTATCCAAAACAACCCAAGTGAGGCCCGCAACATGCTCCTGCAGAACCCACAACTTGCCTATGCTCTGCTACAAGCTCAGATTGTAATGAAGATTGTTGATCCTCATGTTGCCATGGTGAGTAGATATTACTATGGTAGCAGTCATTATTGTTGTCATAGTGATTTGTTGTTATACAGATTATGGTCAATGCTGCCTAATCTAGAACACATTGACTGGAAAAAAGGTGCTTAAAAGGTGCGAATTTGGTGATTTTTTCTGTACTTGCAGAGAAAAAATATGAAAATAACATGTCATTGCATTTCTGACTTAATCTAAAATAAAGGAATTGGCACTCATCATTAAAATGAATCCATTCCAAAATTCTGTGCTGAACAGTGTCCTTCTCGTTTGTGTCACATAGTGAATAAAGTCCAGCACTCGTGTGCCATGATTCATAATTAATTGGTTTCTAAAGCAAAAGTGCTTGCTTGGGCCATGAACTCTAGTTCGGACCCAAATTTTGTTGACATTTTATATGTAAATACATGGAATACTGGTGCATTTTATTTTGGTAACACATCAAAAGGGGTTGTGGTCTTACACTCTGTAGAATGTTCAATGGGACTATCTGTGCCTTGGCGCTGCTGCTTTCTAGTTTCTGGTCTTATAAGTGTAGATGTTTGATGGAATTTTCTACACCAGTTGGCATTGCTGTTATTCTGTTTCAGGCAATGTTGAACAGACAATCTGACCAGGTTCCCCCAGTTGCCCCAGGCCCATCTAGTACAACACCTGCATCTGTGGCTCCAGCTGATAAAATGCCCGTAAGTTCAGACAAATCATGGATTCTGTTTTGTTTTGCATTTTGCATCACAGCTGATGAAGAACCCGACTGGAATTGTTTTATTTCATTTTTTCAAGTAGTGCAGTATCAAACTGATAAGCTGCTAACATGATATATACAAGCAAAATCATATTGACAGAAAATATTTGAATTTGTATTTTGTAACAGAGGGAGGCTGAACCAATGAATACAACACCTGCGAGTGCTGCTCCATCATTTAGGGCTCCTCCCACCTCAATGGCCATACCAGCAGCCTCAAATATGGCAGGGCCTAGCAATATGGGAGCACCTGGGCCCAATATAGGAGGCCCAGGAATGGGTGGTCCACGACCGAACATGATGGGTGGAGGAATGGATCGTGGACCCGGAATGGATCGCGGACCTGGAATGGATCGGGGACCTGCAATGGATCGGGGACCTGGGATGGATCGAGGACCTGGAATGGATCGAGGACCTGGAATGGATCGGGGACCTGGGATGGATCGTGGACCTGGAATGGATCACAGAGGAATGGGAAGAGGTTCGTTTTTGAAAGGCTTAAACAATTTAGAAGGGACAGAAATTATTGTAGATTTGGAGATGTAGAAATCAATCATTAGTAAAATAAAAATGGAGATATTTTCATTTCATGACATGAACTGTTATCTTTAAGAAAAAAGGCATCCCTATAAAAATCCCGATAATATTATGTAGCATTAAATCAATTTGAAAATGCAGAATTTATTTTAGACATTCATACTTTAATCGCACTCTGAAAAAGTGGTTAAGCCACGTATGACTGTCAAATACAGCTCAGACTGATTTTTCTGCTGTATGGATGTTTGGGAAACCCTTGTGTTGAGTAATTAAATATTGAGCTTGTTAATTTATATGTTCACAAGCTGTTGAAAGTGAATTGTTTACCAATTTTCTGAAGTATCAAAGATAATAAGCGACAAACAAAAAAGTAACAAGGGATGGAAAAAATGTTCCAATTATTTTTGGCCCACCCCGTAAATGGCATTTTTGTCAATTTTGTTTGGCAGGTCCAGGGGACATGCATGGTGGAATGATGGATGGACCAGGTCGTCATGACAACAGAATGGGAGGCCCTGGGCCCAGGATGGGAGACCCAAGAGGTAATGTTATCCTCCATTTTATACTAGAAGTTCAGCTGGAAAACTTAAAAGCGATGAGTGCTTGAGATATTTCATGTGATGCGTCTATAAGGTGAATTAAAGACTACTTACTGTCGAGGATTCTTAAAGTGAGAACATATAATTGTCCCTTCATGAGGATTTGAAGTGAAATCACAAAATCTGCATCCCCTTTTGTATACAATAAAAATGTCATTTTCTTTAAGGGGTCCTAAAACATCATTTTCTACTTTTTGTTGTTTCAGGGGGTCCTATGGGAGGAAACAGGAATCAAGACTCAGATTTCCGAGGACCAGGTAAAGTAAAATAAAAAACTTAAAGCCAGTAATATTTAAGATATTGTTCAAAAGCGTTTTAACATTTGCTCAGTGAAGGTTAAAAGCAGATAATTAAAAGTACTCCAACATGGTAATGTTATGTTGAAATTGGCGTTGATTTGTGCAGACTGCCAATTGTAGTGGCCTGACACTAGAAATATGTAGTCATTGGAAAATATAGTAAAATCACTGTTACTGCACTCAATAATGCGCTGTTACTGGAATGGAAGATGGCTGAAGCTCAGTTCGATTCTTCTTTTCCCCTGATTTCTTGAGATATAGCATAAATAATCCCAATCTTTTCAACTATAATTATCATATCTTTCTTGGAATCCAAGTGATTTCGCATGAAATAGTTTGTGGGATGACATAATCTTTTACTTAATTCATCACTTTTATTATCTAAACAGAACTTCAAAAACGGTTAAGATTTGCACTTTAAACCCGTTTTTTTAATAACAATAGTGAGGTATTGAATTGATGGTTCAATTGTCTTCTGAATTATTTGATGCAAACTTGTAGATTTTCTTAAACATATGCAGTGATCTCCCCAACATTAAAGCAAATGGTCACGGCACCCGACTGAGATTTTAAAAACAGCATAAATCCCAGATTATACTCTGATTTGCTGACAGATCATCACCTTAGTTTGTATTTCCAATGCAAAATTCATAGAAACCTTAAACTGCGCAAATAAAAAATTCCACGATAACATAAAACCCATTAAAAAGGCCACTCTTGTCTGCTTTTTATTTACTTATTAATGCTATATTATTATATATTTCTTAATACATTTATTTGATTGCTGCCAGGAATGGATCATGATAGAATGCAGCCTGGTGCATGGGATTCTAGAGGTGAAATACTTAACATAATTATCACTAGGGTTGTTTGTACTATCACTTTGGTTTGTACTATCACATGGATTGATTGTACAATCATGAGGTTTTTTTGTACTATAACATGGATTGATTGTACAATCATTAGGGTTGTTTGTACTATCACTTTGGTTTGTACTATCACATGGATTGATTGTACAATCATTAGGGTTGTTTGTACTATCACATGGGTTGTTTGTACTATAATCTGGGTTGATTGTTAAATCACTTGTGTTGTTTTTACTTTCATCAATGTTGATTGCACTACAACTGATTTGATTGTACTATAATGGATTTTATAACCAGGTTGTTTGCACTTATACCAGTGATGTTTGTGTTGTCTCTTACAGCTATTATTTGTAAATGTAGCTTTAAGGAACTATTGCTTGCTAGAATATCAAAGAACAAACAACCCACTCAATAGTGTAATGGATAGATTAATATAATGCTTAAATAGCTTTTCATTTTCTCTAAAATTGCTTACCCATTGATTTAACATTATATACAATATTACCATCATAGTTATTATCTTTTTTGTCATGTCACCATGGTTACATGACCCGTCAAGATCAGCCATATTATCAAAACAAGGAGGCAATCATAACTGACCTCTTTCGTTATTTTCTGACCCAGCCTCAGATCCCCCTATATCTAATCCTTTCCTCTAGACACCAAGCTCATTATCTAATCCTTTCCTCTAGACACCAAGCTCATTATCTAATCCTTTCCTCTAGACACCAAGCTCATTATCTTACATGCACATGCCTTTTATTCTGCAATATATGTAACACTCTTCCCTGTTATGTTTCTGCTAATTAGTGAATTAATATTCAAGTGAAAAAAGGCTGATTCTGCTAGGGAAAAGGTCCATTCCACATGAATTTTGCATAAAAATCTCTGTATCACGCCCGGTGATTGTGAAAATGGGACAGAGGGGGGGGGCAGTCAATTTCCGCCAGAAAATGCAAAAATCTGGAAGATTTATCTTTTCAAGAAAAAGTTTACTATTGAATTGCTGAATGGATAGGCGCACAGTATGATAGAATATGTTAGGTCTTCTGAGATTTTTTCTGAACCGACACCAGGGGTTTCATTAGCAGCAGGCAACAAGTCAATGTTTTTGCTATAAATCAAGCAACAATAGTCCCATTTTAATTTTTATATAATGTTTGGAAACTTATCCTATAAAGTCAGCAATGGCATTAATTTAGTTATGATAATGTTACTTAAACATATTTATAACAGGTCGTATAGACCATTGTTGCTTGATTTACCGCAAAAACATTGACTTGTGCACATTGGTGGCCTTGTGCCATTTCTAATATATCTCATATCATAGAAGCGCATCGGTTAAAAAGAATCATAGAAGACCTAACATTTTTTACCGTACCATGCACCTATTCATTCAGGGCGTTTCACCCCCCCCCCCTCCGTCCCATTTTCACGATCACCGGGTGTGTTTTTTTTTTAGAAAAATCAAACAAATATTGCATTTTGAAAGTAATTTGGTCAGTGTTAGAAGTACTTTATTTTAGCCACTATATGTCAATTTATTGTAAACAACAGGTCAATTTATTGTAGCAGCATTATTGTAACAACGAGTCAATTTATTATAATAACAGGTCAATTTATTGTAACAACAGGTCAGTTTATCGTAGCAGCATATCAATTTATTGTAACAATAGGTCAATTTATTGTAACTATATGTAAATTTATTGTAGCAGCATTATTGTAACAACAGGTCAATTTATTGTAACAACAGGTCAATTTATTGTAACAACAGGTCAATTTATCGTAACAGCATATCAATTTATTGTAACAATAGGTCAATTTATTGTAACTATATGTAAATTTATTGTAGCAAAAGAGATCTCTTGTTTGTGTTTCTCGTTTTCTAAATCAGTTTTCACTTTTATTCTTGCAGATATGGGAAGGAGAGATATGGGAGGCAGAGGTAGAGATCCTAGAGATCGAGATCCAAGAGATCAGCGTGATCAAAGAGATATGCGTGGTGATCCACGAGACATGCGTGATCCAAGGAGTGAAATGCGTGACTCTAGAGATATGCGTGACCAAAGAGGAGATATGCGTGACCAAAGAGGAGATATGCGTGATCCGCGAGGCATGGGCCCAGGTGTGGGAGGGGATCCAAGGATGGGTAGAGGGCCAGGAGGTCCACAACCTGGAGCTGCTCCCCAAGGGAGACAACAGGTAACCGTCAGGTTCTGTTTTCCAATTTTAAAGTGTGCGCCTGACCCGGCTACGTATAGCACAGAGTTTATACTGGCGGATTAGACTAGTTCATTTTTATATGTGTGTGAAAGCTTTCTCTTATTTGCGTTTTTTCGTTTAGTACGGTTTTGTTATAATTGCCGAGGTCATATAACCGGGATAAAACAATGATTATCGTTGACTGCCCACACACAAAACATACGTTGAGTGAACAGTGTTATCACAAACAACAGGCTTTAGAATACAAAGCGTAGTGTGATGATAAGCTGTACACTACCACTGCTGCATGTACATATTAATAATTTACTAGGGCTCCCAAAGAGTGGATAGGGAGGTTGTGTTTGTCACTTTTAAATTTTACAATTTCAAAATTGTCATTTTACATGTCATAATTTGTTGGTTTCATTCGTTTAGCCGATCAAAACATAGTAAAACAATAAATTGTCTGTTACGTACAATTAATTTTGTTCAGTTTTGATTAGTTGTCAGAATAAAGTTACGTTCATCGGAATCCATGTATCAAAACAAAAATCCTATTTTCACTTCAAAATACTTCAGTGAGATGAATTGTCACATGCAATAACTTATTGTCGTATTCCTTATTTTATCTTCTCGATAGTAGCATTTAGTCGCACATTTGATGCCAGGTCACCTTGTCGCGTACCTCTTGGGGAACCCCACATTTATGTGTGTACTCATGGAAGTAAATTCCCCGGTGTAGCTGAGAGCCACAAACTTTTCAACAGGTTCGAAATGACCAATTTCTCTCATATATACTCTAAATATTTTATTATTTAGCACCTACAAAGTATTGCTAATAACCATATGTAATTTCAATAAGGAAACTTATCTGGCTACATATGAATTCAATATCAACACTAGCTGTTCTCTCAACACGTCCTGGCTTACCTTGTGGTGACAAACCCTGGATTTTCGCTATTTATAGTTTATCAACACCTGGACGCATGCGCATTTTAAAGTTTATCGGGCACTTTAACCCTAAAGGAATATTCACTCAAAAGATAGGTATCTATATGGAGAACCGAATTCAACAATGTTTTTCTCTTAAACCAATCATTGAAAACATTCTGTAGAAAAAAACATGGTATTATGTAATGTTGACTGATTGACAACAATTTAATGCGAAAATTATTTAGAAATATTTGATATAACTGTTTTTGTTAACATTTTTTGTTTTTTTAGTGCAATCGTTTTTGCTCCTTTCTACCAATTCTTGAGAATGAAATAAAATGTCTTTCCGAACCTTGTTGGAACAAAACAGCATATACAACATGTTTTTAGACCTCCCAATATTAAAGTTATACAAAGGAATTTTTGGTTGATTTTAAAAAAGTATTCAAAACAAAATTCCCCCAAAATAGATAAAAATCAAGAAAGACCTTTTATTTCATTAACAAGATACTTTTTTAAAATCAACCAAAATTTCCTTTGTACAATTACAATATTGAGAGACATGTGTTTATGTCGTTTTGTGCCAATGAGGTTTGGAAAGATGTTTCATTTCACTTTGGAAACATGATACCAAAAACAAAACAAGTGTTTGATGTGTTTTTTAAAACAATATAGATGAAAGTATGTATATCTATTTCAAATTATATTGTTACCATTCCAAAGATGGCCATTAAATGACAATTTGTAAGATTTTAAAAAATTTTTGATGATTGGTTTAAGAGAAACATGTGTTCAAAAAGTTCGCCATATCGATACCCATTCTTTAATGTTTTTAATCCTAGAATAGGAAGTACTGTTATTTTATGTCATAATTAGTAAAACATGCTGAAATACAGTGGCTTACTTGCCTAATCAGAATTAAATCAATTGGATTTGCGACGCCTTGGCATTTTTGTTATTTAATAAAGAAAATCCTTTCAAAAAGTGTCTATAAAATCTGTCCTTACTCATTGTTACAAGTTTCTAGCCTATTGGCACATGTTCTGCTTGTAACCATTTATGGATTTCTGTTCTGTTATAGGGTGGTATGGGTGGCCCAGCGGGTGGCATGCTTGGGGGCCCAGGAGGGGGCCTAGCTGGCCTTGGTAATATGCTAGCAGGAGGTGGTGGAGCAGGCGGTCAAAGTCAAGACCAGGAGAAGGTTAGTACTATTCAGGTTACAAACCATTGGTGGGATATAGTCACATGATGACAGCGTTATCGTCCCACTTTTTTGTCATCGCCATTAGAGGAAAACCTCTCATCAGATTTTCTTCAAACTCATTTGTATTAACACATAAATGTAACCTTTAATATTTCAGGCTGCATTGATTATGCAAGTTCTACAGCTAACAGACCAACAAATATCAATGTTACCTCCAGACCAGAGGCAGAGTATCCTTATTCTCAAAGAACAGATTTCACGCACAGGTGCCCCGCCTACTTAGTTTGACAGAAAGATGCCCCACCCACTTAGACCCTTTAGGATTATCAATTTGTTCAGCCAATTTGACTCAAAGCCTTGACAACACACTGAAATACAATTTTCACATCTAGAAAATAATTATGCCCTGCTGGTGTAACAAGTTCTGATATCTGGAGTCTTACGATATTTTGGAGCCAGTATCTTGAAAATAAACAATATAAACAAACTGCATCATGTGAATGGTAATTATTGGAACATTGCTTAATTGAGTAAACCAGCCATAGGATCATAATGGTATTACAAAGAGTAATGTGGAGCAGTCACAGTTGAACTAATTCCAGAATTCATTGAATGCATTTACTATTGGATGCCTCATTAACATGTGGATGCCTCATTAACATGTGGATGCCTCATTAACATGTGGACCCTTGTTAGTGTAAAGTTCAACCCTTTAACTACATCCAACCTGTATTAGAAGTACTGCTACATACGAAACCTTTCAGTTTCACCAAATTGTGTCATTCAGTGAGTGATAAATAAAATATCATTTTTAGCAATACTATGTGTATGTCAATATTAAGGATACTGCAATTTCCATGGCAATGCTTTGCTGTTTTACAATACTGTTTGAGCATAATTTCCACTGCAGTGCTGTTTAAGATTAGGACTGTTAAATGTTATTAAAGCTACAAACTGCTGTTTGATCATGATGCAAATCGAGGAAGTATTTTCAAACTAGCATTTACATGTATTGTATGCACTATAATGTGTCTACACGACATCTGGAAAATCAATTGTTTAAATGAAAAACTGCTTTATATTTATAAGTTTATCACACTGGAATCTTGCATTAAATGTTAGCTAATGTTGGTGAATGAGCAGAACATTTTATTTTAAAACAATATGTATACATATCGATGAGAAATAAAATGTCACACAAAATCTGTATCTAAAGAATTGTTTATTGTACTTGCTTCAGAGAAATATGTATATATGTGAGGTCACGCATATATGTTAGGTCACGCATATATGTTAGGTCACGCATATATGTTAGGTCACGCATATATGTTAGGTCATGCATATATGTTAGGTGGGACCATTTAACAACTGACCCATAAAGCGGTGGAAAATGGCACATCATTCTGCACCACATCAATTTCCATTTCTAGATGACTCAGTTCTGATTTTGTATATTCTCCCCCTGAATCGTATATTAACTTTAATATGCATCTGATAGAAACAATGAATTAAATTGAATGATAATTTTTATTACAAAATAATAAATAATTATATATATAGGGTGTTTCATATGTGTTAACCCCCCCCCCCCCCCTCTAAAATCATATATGTGGCATGCCATTCTATCATGTTGTATATCATTTTGTTCCTCATAGAAAGTTACATATGATTGTAAAGTTTCAGAATCCAGGGTGTCCTTGAAAAAAGATGCAATGTATAGTATGTGGGTATGGGGTCATTTAGGGGCAATTTCTGGTCATTTTGAGGGCAATTTAAAAGAAAAATTTAGTTTCCGTATTGCAGTTTTCATTGTGACAAAGTTCAGTCCACATATCTGTGAGAGTTATTCACAAGGATATATAGACAGGGCTCATGCAGTGGCTTATAGGGATGCCAGGCAGCATGGTACCGCCGTTATCATTTAAATGGTTTACAGACAAAAGTGAACAGGTCACCGAACTGGTCATGCAGTGGCTTATAGGGATGCCAGGAAGCATGGTACAGCCGTTATCATTTAAATGGTTAACAGACAAAAGTGAACAGGTCACCGAACTGGTCATGCAGTGGCTTATAGGGATGCCAGGAAGCATGGTACCGCCGTTATCATTTAAATGGTTAACAGACAAAGTGAACGGGTCACCGAACTGGGTCCAAAAATGTTTACAAATTACCCCGTGCCCGCATACTTTGATACATCATATCTTTTTATAGGGACACCCTTGATTTTGAAACTTTGCAATCTAATCTGACTTTTCATAAGGAACAAAATGATATATAACATGATAGGATGGCAATGCTATATGTATGATTTCAGAGGGGGTGCATACATATGAAACGCCCTGTATATAGTATTAAAGGGGTCCGCGCATTATACCGAAACCCATTATACCGACGCACATTATACCGAAACCCATTATACCGACGCGCATTGTACCGAAGGCGTTATACCGAATGCCATAATCACTGTTCCACAACTAGTTACTTTGACGGAACGTCAATGTAACAAAATGGATGAACTTCCTGGTTACGAATTTTTTGCTTTCTCGATTTAAACCTACTAAGTCAAGTTTCAGATTATAATTTGGCCCAGAGCTAGAAAATAGCCTAGATTTAATAAGTTTCTTCGATTTGGAATTTGTTTTGTAAATGAAGCTGTAATTCATATACTAAGCCCCTCGCTTTTGTTACATTGACGAAAGCCTGTTATATTACCAATGTATGTTACTTTGTCAATGGGGATTTAGCTCGACCATTTTTAGAAAACTTGAAAATCTCTAGAATTTGAATAAAGGTAAATAACAGTGCAAAAACTAAGTTGTTTTGATAGAAAATTACACACAGAATTCAAATAGAAGAAAATTTTAGTCTTTAGTGGTTAAAAATGCAGATCTCCTAAGATTTCAAAGCTATATGGAAAAGCCACTATTAGATAGATGCCTTCACTAGGCTATTCTCTGTACTTGTGTCCGTGCCTCATTTTGAGAAGCGAGTGTAAATTCTTTTCGGAAACATGATTATGTTTTCCCTGTAATATGAATTGGAGATATCTGACAAAATGGATAGCCTTAAATATGAATTTTGTGTTTTGGAGCATGCGGAAATATCTTGAACACTTTGAAACTGAAGTACAGTTCTTTAATAGGTCGTTCAGTTTTCTTCTTTTTGTTCTACACAACACTTGTGTTTAATAGCCATGCGTAATTATTAATAATAAGCGTAATCAGATTATTTCAAGATTACACAAACCTATTCACTTACCGTTATATTGAGCGATCTAGATGCGTCAATTATAATTGTTTTCACTCATCGGCTTTAGTGGCCCGCGATACGTTTTATTTCATTCGTTTGAGACGCAATTGACATATTGGCCAAAATCAAATGTCCTAAATGATTCTTCTTCATTTTGGATGTTTCTCCTACCCGATATTCAAAGATGTGTCTTAAATATTATACTTTACATTGATTACGATTCTTGTACTTTCTGTCTTTACGACTCCCGTTCACATTTGCAAGAGTTGTTGATTGCATTGCCTTGGTCGTTGGTCGAACTTCGATTCAAACTAAATCAGATTAATCAATTAAGAAATGTAATATCATGTTTATCCATGCAAATAATTGTAGCAACTACATTATTTTTTAGCAGTTTTGACACCTAAGCAGGGTAGCCTAGTGGCGTAGACTGAGGCTACTTTGCAGTCGAACGTCGTGGGATACGGAGGTCCCGCGTTCGAGCCCCAGGTACGGAGTTGTTGATCATTGGCACTACGGACACCCTGTCCGAAGGTCCAACCGTTTACCGGCCCTTGGCATGGGTTGGTTCTCTGGCCTCTCTGCGGCCTGAGACAGATTGTGAGACTGTGGTTGGTTCCTCCACTAACGTGCTTTAGTAAACTCCGGGAGTCATACAGTATGGTAGCGGGCCCCCACCAAGGGCAGTAGTGGAACGACGCGAATCGGTCCCAGTATGGTTGCCTTGCAACTGAAGAGACTCGAGGAAATCATGCCACTCGCAGTGACCCAGAAAAGACTTTTGCTTCTTTATTTGACTCCCACGAAGTCCCTTGAGACCTTGATGCCTTTGCCCCATCGTGCCCCATGGAGTCCCATCAAGCCCAAAGGAGTCTTATCAAATTCCACCGTGCCCCATTGCTGTATGTCGGGCTTCACACAACACGTCATATGATCGAAAATCCCACGATGCCCCATGGAAAGAATGAACATGTTCATTCTCGATGGGACTCCGTGGGATTTTGCCCCATCGAGTCCCATCGTGGGACTTCATGGGACTCGATGGGACAAGATGGGGCAAAATCCCACGGAGTCCCATGAAGTCCCACGTACTTCATTTGGCAAAATCCCAAAAGGTCCCACGCAATGTTAAGTCTATGGAGGTCCCAACTTGCCCTATTGGTGTATACCGGGCTTTAAATACATCTGGATAGTATCAATACCGTAATTCAATTTGTCGGACATACAAATATAAAATAACACTTGAAAAAACAACACACATAGCTGCAATATCCGTAGCATTTGGCATAGTCGGTTCCCACGCTGTATCATTTTGTGCGGTCATCATAAGATAAGGAGGTACGGTTGATTGGATCATGGGCTTTCGACAGAGTCAAGAAATTGGCATGGACACTTTGAGAAATGAGGTAGCAACAAAAGGAAACACCGGAAATAATCCAGAAATGTCCACACCATTGTTTTCGTTAGTTATGGCAAGGCCCCGGAGGAAAAACAGCATTCGTGGGTAGCTTAATTTTTGTACCAATTAGAGCCATGACTTAAACTCAACCAAGAACGGTGGAGCAAAGTCACTATGGGTTCCAATTGAGAATCAATTCAAATCAAAATCGAATTGAGAAGCAGATGACCTGCTAAGTCTAGTATTGATTTGCCCCTAAATAGATATTAAAAGGGCGCTGAATATTGGACTTAGTTTCTTGCTGTCTCTCCATGACAACAATTTTTGGCCCCATCAGCACAAGATCGAAAATACAGTAATTATCAAGTTCAATACAATTATTTATTTCTACCAATGAAACAATACAGTATAAATAAATGTTTACTTCATTGAATACAGAATTTACCACGGTTAAATATATTTTATAAAATACAGGGTTTACCATAATCAAACATAAATAACAGAATTATGACTTTATCCTCTATGAAATACAGAAATTGATGGTTAACTGGAATTAAGTTTGTTGAGACGACCCCTCAATCCGAAACGCCCAGCTTCAGTAGTATGCGAGTATGAGGATTGCAACTTTTTATGTCTACACTGACAAAAACTTGAAATTCCCGCTGTAAAGATATAGTCCCACGCGGAAGTGCACGTCATAAAACTGATGGGTTAAGGCAATGTGCCGTCCCACTGGCACGGATTTCGGTACAATACTCGTCGGTATAATGGGTTTCGGTATAATATGCGTCGGTATAATGAGGTGATCTCGTATTAAACAAATACTGGATGACCATGAGGTGGATATGCCAGAATACCTATCCGAGGAGAAAATACTAGGCGAGGCGAAGCCAAGCCTTGTATTTTTTTTCGAGGATAGGTATTCTGGCATACGGGATGGTTGGAGATCTCATTGCTTCAATACTGGATAGAACGAGATCTTGCTGCCACGTATGGCAATAGACCCTGCAGCTCTTAACCAATCAGATTTGAGTATTTCAATGAGGTGCATAATAAAATGAAATACTTTGTTCTGATTGGCTGGAACTTGACACACCTTGCTTACTTATGTTAAGGTTTCCAGACAACTCGGACCCAGGACAACTCGAACCATGGACAACTCGGACCCAAGACATCTCAGACCCAAGACAACTCGGACCCAAGACAACTCGACCACTTTTTGAAATGATGATTTTTATCAATATATTTGGTTCTAATTATTTTCTATGTTTATTTTGACATATATTATATATTGTAAATTCATATATTGTGTTAATTTGATGAAATTGTTTTAAATTAATTATGTTTTGATGAGAGTTAAGAAGTAAGAAATTATTGAAGCTAAAGACCCAAGAATATAATGTAATATGGATTCCTATATGTTCTCTCTGTACATATTACTCCATTCATTATTACACTGTTGTATTTTCCTCAATGTGGAACAACTGGTCTATCTGAACCTGGAATCCTATATGTTCTCTCTGTAAATATTACTTCATTCATTATTACACTGTTGTATTTTCCTCAATGTGGAACAACTGGTCTATCTGAACCTGGAATCCTATATGTTCTCTCTGTACATATTACTCCATTCATTATTCCACTGTTGTATTTTCCTCAATGTGGAACAAATGGTCTATCTGAACCTGGAATCCTATATGTTCTCTCTGTATATATTACTCCATTCATAATTAGACAGTTGTATTTTCCTCAATGTGGAACAACTGGTCTATCTGAACCTGGAATCCTATATGTTCTCTCTGTACATATTACTCCATTCATTATTCCACTGTTGTATTTTCCTCAATGTGGAACAAATGGTCTATCTGAACCTGGAATCCTATATGTTCTCTCTGTATATATTACTCCATTCATTATTACACTGTTGTATTTTCCTCAATGTGGAACAACTGGTCTATCTGAACCTGGAATCCTATATGTTCTCTCTGTATATATTACTCCATTCATAATTAGACAGTTGTATTTTCCTCAATGTGGAACAACTGGTCTATCTGAACCTGGAATCCTATATGTTCTCTCTGTATATATTACTCCATTCATAATTAGACAGTTGTATTTTCCTCAATGTGGAACAACTGGTCTATCTGAACCTGGAATCCTATATGTTCTCTCTGTATGTGTTTCCTACAGTTAGATTTCAAAGCAGAGGCATGTGGACAGTAGGCACACTTATAGGGCTTCACACCTGGGTGGCTATGCTGGAGACGGATGTGCTGCTTTAAATACTGTTGAGTCTGAAAGTAAAGTACATGACATGATATCACCTTTGAAATAGCCCCAAAGCCAAATTCTGGCGGTTTCTATTGAGTGATTTCAGTATAAGTTGGCATTTGGAGTATGTTTTGTTAAATGGCCATGAAATGGTGGACATATTTGGAAATGGAAAAAAGCATGAGAAGACCATTGGTTAAATATAATATTAAGATTTGCATAAGTAGTTTTGTACTATATAATATTAAATTTTTCTTGTAAGGTTTAATACCTTTGCTGTATAGGCACATATACTGCACATAAAGGGTTTCTTTTCTGCGTGACTGTAGCTAATGTGTCGTTCTAGTTCACCCTTCTGAAGATAACTTTTGTTACACAGCTGACACGAGTATTTCCTCTCTCCTGGAACACAGATAAACAAAACATTATTCGCACTAACTTGTCATCGTGTCAAGAATAGCGCAAATAGATAACAACCACCTTTCTCATCTCATGTTATCATTTTGGAAAACTAAAAATCAGCTCCACAGATGGGAATAGCAAATCCCAAAGAACACTATATTCGGGAATCTGTATATTATATTTAAACCATCTACTCTACCCTTGATTAAATCACAAATAAATCATATTGAGATCTAATACAGTTATATGGTACAATGTAGCCAAACTTTTGAAGAGATCTCTTGGACCATTCTACAGAACGTCATATTAGATACCACGATACACAATACAAATACCATTCAGCCATTGCACATCATATCAATACCACCATATGCAACACAAATACCACTGTACATCATATCAATACCATCATATGCAATACAAATACCATTGTACATCATATCAATACCATCATATGCAATACAAATACCATTATACAATAGGTCATATCAAATACCACCTAACACAATACAATTATCACAGTACATCTGACCATACACATAACAAATAATACAGTTCATCATATCAATACCATCTTATGCAATACAAATACCACAGTACATCATATCAATACCATCTTTTGCAATACAATTATCACAGTACATCTGACCATACACATAACAAATAATACAGTTCATCATATCAATACCATTATTATGCAATACAAATAACACAGTGCATCATATCAATACCATCTTATGCAATACAAATACCACAGTACATCATATCAATACCACCAAACAGGCAAACACAATACAATTATCACAGTACATCTGACCATACACATAACAAATAATACAGTTCATCATATCAATACCATTATTATGCAATACAAATAACACAGTGCATCATATCAATACCATCTTATGCAATACAAATACCACAGTACATCATATCAATACCATATTTTGCAATACAATTATCACAGTACATCTGACCATACACATTACAAATAACACAGTACTCATATCAATACCACCAAACACAAACACCAAACACAATACAATTATCACAGTACATCTGACCATACACATTACAAATAACACAGTGCTCATATCAATACCATCTTATGCAATACAAATAACACAGTTCATCATATCAATATCACCAAACACAATACAATTATCACAGTACATCTGACCATACACATAACAAATAATACAGTTCATCATATCAATACCATCTTATGCAATACAAATACCACAGTACATCATACCAATACCACCAAACACAATACAATTATCACAGTACATCTGACCATACACATTACAAATAACACAGTAACTCCTATCAATACCATCTTATGCAATACAAATATCACAGTACATCATACCAATACCACCAAACACAATATAATTATCACAGTACATCTGACCATACACATTACAAATAATACAGTTCATCATATCAATACCATCTTATGCAATACAAATACCACAGTACATCATATCAATACCATCATATGCAACACAAATACCACAGTACATCATATCAATACCATCATATGCAATACAAATACCACAGTACATCATATCAATACCATCTTATGCAATACAAATATCACAGTACATCATATCAATATCACCAAACACAATACAATTATCACAGTACATCTGACCATACACATATAAATAATACAGTTCATCATATCAATACCATTATTATGCAATACAAATAACACAGTACATCATATCAATACCATCTTATGCAATACAAATAACACAGTACATCATATCAATACCATCTTATGCAATACAAATACCACAGTACATCATATCAATACCATCATATGCAATACAAATACCACAGTACATCATATCAATACCATCTTATGCAATACAAATATCACAGTACATCATATCAATATCACCAAACACAATACAATTATCACAGTACATCTGACCATACACATAACAAATATATTATCAATACCATTATTATGCAATACAAATAACACAGTACATCATATCAATACCATCTTATGCAATACAAATATCACAGTACATCATATCAATATCACCAAACACAATACAATTATCACAGTACATCTGACCATACACATAACAAATAATACAGTTCATCATATCAATACCATTATTATGCAATACAAATAACACAGTACATCATATCAATACCATCTTATGCAATACAAATACCACAGTACATCATATCAATACCACCAAACACAAACACCAAACACAATACAATTATCACAGTACATCTGACCATACACATAACAAATAATACAGTTCATCATATCAATACCATCTTATGCAATGCAAATACCACAGTACATCATATCAATACCACCAAACACAATACAATTATCACAGTACATCTGACCATACACATTACAAATAATACAGTTCATCATATCAATACCATCTTATGCAATACAAATACCACAGAACATCATATCAATACCATCTTATGCAATACAAATAGCACAGTACATCATATCAATACCATCTTTTGCAATACAATTATCACAGTACATCTGACCATACACATTACAAATAATACAGTTCATCATATCAATACCATCTTATGCAATGCAAATACCACAGTACATCATATCAATACCACCAAACACAATACAATTATCAAAGTACATCATATAAACATCATCATACCACATTATATCTGTATAACAGATCTTACCACCATGTTTCCTTAGCATGTGCTGGTTCAGTATGCTATTCCTGATGGTCTGGTATCCACATATGGAACAAATAAGAACCTCTGTCTTTTCTGGAGTGACCCCATGTTTTGTGAAGATGTGATCTGCAATGTATCCCATATTGCAACTGAATAAGCAGAACATATATCCCATAATGCAACTAAATAAGCAGATGATTTGAGACCCCATGTCTTGTGAAGATGTGATCTGCAATGTATCCCATATTGCAACTGAATAAGCCGAAGATATATCCCATATTGCAACTGAATAAGCAGAACATATATCCCATAATGCAACTAAATAAGCAGATGATTTGAGACCCCATGTTTTGTGAAGATGTGATCTGCAATGTATCCCATATTGCAACTGAATAAGCAGAAGATATATCCCATAATGGAACTAAATAAGCAGATGATTTGAGACCCCATGTCTTGTGAAGATGTGATCTGCAATGTATCTCATAATGCAACTGAATAAGCCGAAGATATATCCCATAATGGAACTAAATAAGCAGATGATTTGAGACCCCATGTTTTGTGAAGATGTGATCTGCAAAGTATCCCATATTGCAACTGAATAAGCAGAAGATATATCCCATAATGCAACTGACTGCAACTGATGCAATCTTTTAAAGTTCATCTAAAAAAGTAATTCCTTGCTTCAATTAGTGAATAGTTGTAATTTTACATGTTTTAATATGCTCAAAAGAATGTAAGTGTGACAGTAAATTTTAAATGCTTATTTTTATAGCCTAGCCTAGCCATATCATACATTTTTACACATATTAATGTACTGTTTTTACAAATTTCTAATTTTATGATATGTATTGTCACATATTTTATTGTTAATTGTAGTGTGTCTGCAGGGTTCTAATGGAAACAAGAAAATATATGTTTTTTTTATTAGATATCCCTGAATGAATAAAATCTAAATAAAAATGATTAAGCAGACGATTTCAGATCATGTTTCTTATAAAGATGTGATCTGCAATGTATCTCATAATGTAACTGAATAAGCAGAGGATATATCCCATGATGCAACTGAATAAGCAGATGATTTGAGACATGTCTTGTGAAGATGTGATCTGCAATGTATCTCATAATGTAACTGAATAAGCAGAGGATATATCCCATGATGCAACTGAATAAGCAGATGATTTGAGATATGTCTTGTGAAGATGTGATTTGCAATGTATCCCATAATGCAACTGAATAAGCAAAATATATATATATATACCATAATTCTTGATATGAGATCAGGTGTCATGAGAAGATGTAATCTGCAATGTATTTCTGAAATGTATTTTCTTCTTGTTTATACATCGGAAGAACAGAAGTTTTAAAAGCCGGTTTAAAAGTTTCTGGCAACTCCCATTAAAATATCAGGCGACATCCATGCTTTAACATGGCACAGAAAGTCAGGATTAGTAAGTTTAATTAACACTTGAATAATACTTGTTTTGGATTGACTAAAGCTTGAAGATTTTTAAATTTCGAAAAATGTTATTCCTGTTTTTAAATGTCTTATCACAACCCAACAAAATGAGCTTTGTGAAAATATTAAAAATCCTTTGGTTGTTCCATTAGTCTACCTCCTATTAATACCTCAGATGTCCCTCTTTAATTGAAGTTCTGACAATAAAATGAAAAGTTCAGGCAAATTCATAGGAAATCATAATCTTAACAAGGAAAGGAATGTAAAATATTCAAGACAACTAATGAATTTGGCAAGATGTCTGCTGCTAATGAAACCGCTTGAAAATGTAATGATTTAATATGATATTAATAATAAAATGAGAACTTGTGTGAAGTGAGAAAATCTCAATAAAAAAAAATTAAACAAAAAATAAAGTGCTTACTATTTAGAGAACTTAATGTTGCCGTCTGAAACTTGCATTGATCACAAGCAAAATCTTTGGCTCCTTGTGGTCCACATGATTTCTCATGAACTGCAATCTGATTGGCTGGCCCATGAATATGCTTCCCACAAGTCTTGCACTGCCCAGTATTACGTTTGTGCCAATACAGGATGTGCCTTTTTAGGTTCCTATCAAAACACAAGTCAGATGACTTTATTAAACTACAACACTATACTGATTTCTAAATACAGGGTGACACAAAAAATGAAACCCACTTTATGTTGCATAACTTGTTTGTCTATTAACATATAGACTTGTCCTTTGGCATATTACAGGTAGACATAATGCAAAAGCAACTTGAGAAATTTCAAATATGTAGCTCAAGTAGGTCAAATTTTATGAGCGTTACAACATTTGCTCTAAATGTCGTCCATTCCTTTGCAGACACACACGGATTCTACACAAAAAATGCCACCCAGCTTTTGGATTATAACTTTGTAAATACTAATGATTTTGGCTTGTACTTTCACGGAAATAAGGTCCATTTAATTAAACACAATATAATGTAGTTGTCATTGATAAAATTATTATAACTTATCTTAAAAATTATTATTCCAAAAGGTGGGTGTCATTTTTTGTGTAAGATACTGTTGTACCAGCAAAGGAATAGATGGCACATCTTGTAATGCTCATAAATGTGAATCTAGGTGAGCTACTGATCTGAAATAACTTGTGGAGTTGCAAAATGTAATTTTAACGTGTGTAAAAACAAGTCAGAATTTAATTAAAGACAAAAAATTCTATGTGGATGGGTGTCATGTGTTTGTGTCATGCTGCGGTACAATACTAATCTAGATTTCTAAATATAGATTTCTGAATACGATACTACACTAGATTTCTAAATACTATACTATCCTAGGTTTCTAAATAGAATACTACTTTCTACTTACCTAACAGAGGTAAATGTCTTGCTGCATTGCTCACAATGGTGGCTCACAATAGTTTCATGTTTCTCTTTGTGACACTTGAATACTTGAGGATCCAATGTGGAAAATTTACAATTGTGGTAATCACATACTTTTCTCTCATTCTCCAATATGTTATGCTCCTTGGTCATGTGACCTTGGAGACCCGGGACTTTGCTGAATGTTTTGGGACATTTTGGACATTTCAACTTGCCATTTTTCTGATGAGAAATTCTCAAATGTTTCCTCATATCTTTCAATGTTGTGAATGTTTGGAAGCACACTGGGCATTTTGCTTTTGTCTTGTGGTCTTTCAATATATGTTTATCATACATAAATCTGGAAGTTGTAATGGTATCACAATTATCACCATGACACACCCAATGTTTTTTTCTGTGGTCTTTGTCGACATGTTGTTTGTATAACACCTTGAACTCAAAGAATTTCTCACAATATTTACATGTTTGATCACTAGTGAATTTGTCCCCTAAAGAATGTTCTAGAGCACTGTGGCAGAGGTAGTCCATTTTCAGTTGTCCATGCCAGGCACATTTATTGCAGATAAATGTCAATGAGGAGTATCTATTCACAATTACTTCATCATGACCAGTTGTTTTATCATCATGACATTCATCTTTTAATTCATCACCATCGTCATAATTCTCAGTACCATTTCTGAATTTTTGCCTTTTATTCCTCCTGAGGCTATGATTGGCTAAGGAATCGATGTTATTATCAAGGTCAAGGTCGTCAATTGCATCATTTCTACCAATCTCTATTAGCCGTTTAGACCTGCGCAAAAGTGGGTTGATAAAATCAGTTTGTTGGTTTGATGTTTTATTTTCCAAGCTAACATATTCTGATTGTTCTTCTGATGATGTTTGTAATGGCAAGCAGGCAGATGTTTGATCATTGGATCTTCCCAATGATCCGTTCACAGATGCCAATTGTTCTTTAATTGTGAACTTGACATCACTTTTAGAGTTCATTGAATAATTCATTGAATTATTCAATGCATTATTCAAGACATCTGAGTTCCAGTTTACAAGTTGAATCTCTTGAGAGGGGGTCATACGTTTGGTGTCAATATGGGTGGAGGTCATACGTTTGGTGTCAATATGGGTGGAGGTCATTCGTTTGGTGTCAATATGGGTGGAGGTCATACGTTTGGTGTCAATATTGGTGGAGGTCATACGTTTGGTGTCAATATGGGTGGAGGTCATACGTTTGGTGTCAATATGGGTGGGATGAACCAAGGTGCTGGTGCAAACAAGGGTGTCATTCACCAATGTTTTGTTAACTGAGGCGCTGCTTGTCAAAGTGTTGCTCACTTTCTTTGTGTGATAAGTAGAATTGTGATTGTCATTTTGGTGGGATAGAGTTTGGGTTCTTGTGAAAGGTGCCGTTGGTGTTATTTTGTCAGCTGCAAAAAGCGTTGTTGTAGTATCTATGTGCATGTCCTCTGTTTGATCAAACTGACAAGAATGGAGAGCATCATCAAATGAACTATGAGTGTCAGTATGGGAATCTTTTTTTGTTTGAATGACATCTTCTATAGACTCATCATTGTTATCATCTGCTATTTGCCCTTGTTCCTTTGTGCCTAATGCCTTAAGGGCTTCACAGACAGGATAGACCTACAATGAAGGGCTTGATATGGTTGTGGGCTATAATATTATTACTCTATATGGAGACTATAACGATATATAATTCATATTTTTTAATTTATCATAAATATTGTAAATCCAATACGTTATAGAGGATAGTCAAAACATGATCAATGAATAGTTAAGTTTCAATATATTATTTTTGAAAAGCTACAAGGAGGTTTGATAAATGACTTGATATACACGTACCTTTAAAAGCTTGGCAGCTTGATAGAGGGGAGTGACATCATCAGGCGTCATGGAGATGGTCTGTCCATACATCAGACCAATTAGCTTTGCCATAATTGCTGATGGTACATCTGCCAGATAAACTGTGTCATTTAAGCCATTTTCAAGCAGTAGTTCTAAAATAAGCAGATATATCAATGTATTAAAACTATGTGTTCTTCGAACATACAACAAAGCAAAGTACATGTTCGCAAGTGGAACATTTTTCAGAGTCCCATTACCCATTGGCTTCATGTTAAAATAATTTGTGAAAGTGTAACACCTCCCAAGTTGGACATAAGGCACCAAAGGTGTTCTACTTGAAACACAGATTTATGTATTGATTTACCTTTAAAGTACTGACTGGTAGATGCAAGAATCAGTTTGTGTGCATGGATCGTACAATATGCATTGTCTGATGACTCATCTGGGAAACACAGTGTGACATCACACAACTTGCCAAGTTTTAGCAACTGGAAGACTTGCTGTAACATGTCTGGCCACTCGAGGGGAGAGTTCAGAACACTCTGTAAATAATCAAATGATATCTGAACACCCTGTATGTAATAAGAGTAAAGGAGATCAGGATACTCTGTATCAAGTAATATTGCTAGATATATGAACACCCTGTATGAAGTAGGGTAGAGGAGATCAAGACAAACGGTATCAAGTAATATTTAGTGAATACCCTGTACATAGTAAGAGTAACTGACTTCAGGACACCCTGTAGATTAGGTGATATCTGACCACCCAATATAGTAAAAAATAAACGAGAATAGAACACTTTGCAAAGTGATAGCTGCTCTCATTATAATTGATGCGAAACTGAATGCAATTCCAAATATGAAAGAATGGCTGATTCTTTTCCTCTAAATCTAAATAGAGTCACCAAAAGAATATTTCTGTATTCATGAAAATTTAACTATTGGATTTCTGTAAAATGTTAAGTAGATGAATGCCTCATGCATGACTGATGATATTAACTAGACTATAACTAATTACATTCTGTATCCAAAAAGAATCTTACCTTATTGTCAGTCATTATGCTGAGGGTGTGCACCTATTATAAGCAGCTAAACTAGTCTCCTAGCTCAAAACTGACTGAAATGGCAGACATGTAAATAGATCAGATATTTTTAACACTTTTATAAAATAACTTCAGAAACACCTGTATTTAGAGAAACACCTGTATTTACAGAAACAACTGTATTTACAGAAACAACTGTATTTGCAGAAACAACTGAATTTACAGAAACAACTGTATTTGCTGAAACAACTGTATTTACAGAAACAACTATATTTACAGAAACACCTGTATTAAGAGAAACAACTGTATTTAAAGAAACAACTGTATTTACAGAAACAACTGTATTTACAGAAACAACTGTATTTACAGAAACACCTGTATTTACAGAAACAACTGTATTTACAGAAACAACTGTATTTACAGAAACACCTGCCTAGTAGAGACCATATTACAGTTTAGTAGCCCCGCCCCCGTACGACGGGTACCGGTGACAGTTCGGGTAATAAATCACTTTTGACCTACGCGCATCCAACAATCAGCGAGCTTGAAGAAACATACGCCAAATGCATTCTAATTAAATATGTGCATGTCATTGGTCAATTCCGGGCTCAACGATGACGTCAGAAGGAATGACCATATATAGAACGTCGGTCAAATTTGGCCGACGAAAATTGATTGGCACGGTGAGTTCACAGGTTTATTTTAGTTTGAAAGAGTGAAGACGAAGCTCTCTTTTAAGAAGTGAAGTCAAACTAGATAACGGCAACTCCGCGGAGTAGCAAATCCCAACGAACAAAATATCAATTACCGAATTCCAATCAATTATACTCATTACTTTGGTTAAAATTGAAAAAATTAGATTTTAGAATTGCGAATTCCTGCAAAGCAGCCATTTTGAATTTTCTGAGGTACAAATCTGAAAAATAATACCATAATTGTGATCTACTCCAAAATTCCATCAATTTGAGTATAATATAGCCATACTTTGAAGGGTAAATTATAGCGAAATCATACATTAGACGGCCATTTTGAAATTTACGAGGCTCGAATCAGAAAAAAGATACAATATTTGCAATCTACTCTTAATTGCCTTTCATTTGAGTATAATAAAGCTATACTTCAGAAAGATCTAAAAATTAGCGAAAATTTCTGTTTTCCTGTCCCCCCATACACGGCCCCTGGGGGTCAGGATGAAAAACACGGAATATATTTGAAATAGATAAATGTTGTGAATATACTACCAAAATTTCAAACAATAATATTAATTACTTTGGTTTAGAATGAAAAATTTATGATTTTTGCGAAAAAGTCCCGTCATTTTTAAAGCGGCGGCCATCTTGAAAATTTTTTTTTTGCGTAAAACTATTTACCAATATACATCTTTCCACTAAATATGAAGAAAATCCGTCAACTAGTATTTGAGTTATCTTCCGGACAGACGGACGGACTGACTGACTGACTGACTGACTGACTGACTGACTGACTGACGGACAGACGGACGGAGGGCTTCACTATATCCCTACCGAACTTCGTTCGCTGGGATAATGAATGCAAAGGGTACTGTATACAGAAACACCTCTCTAATCTGAATGCTTTCTGATATAAACACTTTTTTGGTCTCATAGATTTTTTCTGCTGTAGACTTTCATAGTAAAAAATGAAAATGGCTGCCAATCAGAACACTTCCCCGGTGGTGTTTGGATTAGACAGGTTTTACTATTTCTCTGGTTTTACATCACATTCATGAATCACTTAATTAATAATCAAAGTTCAACATCCAAACTGTTCTATACAATGTGCACCTCATACTCAGGGGCATTACCAATATCCAGAAATAGGCTAGGTATATCTAAATAGGTGAGGCAAAATACTATTTAATTTGGAAAATTTTCAGATTTTTTACTTTTCAACTTTTGCTAAGATTAATTTTGTTATCTTGATGCAAACTTGTCGTCACATCAGCACTATGGTTCTCTCTAATTCTCATAAATTTGAGCCAACAAGTACTAAGAATTGTCTTTATTTTGTCCAGCAAATTACAACCAGGAAGTAAAGAATGATTTTACAGTCAAAGTATGATACAACACCATTCTTTAGAATAATTTCTAATTTTATTGTGTGTTATTCAAAACAAAATATCACATTATTCAGTAATTAACAGCGTCTCTTTTAAAATTAGAATAATTCTATGCTTAGAATTTAACTAGTTTGGTATATATTGGTTTATGTTGGCCTAGGCCTCCATGAGAAGTAAAATGTTGCAGAAAACAACAAACCAAGATAAGTCAGTGAATTAGAAAAATTAAATTGTGGAATTGATATTTAACCAGCTGACATGTCGAGGGAGGTCACAAACAGTCTGGTATTAAAGATGGGTCATTGATCTTGTGCCAGCACAAGATGGGTTGCCACACCTTGTGCCGGCACGAGATTACTGACCCATCATAGTGTGTCAGTTAAAGATTGGTCATTAATCTTGTGCCAGCACAAGGTGGGTTGCCACACCTTGTGCCGGCACGAGATTACTGACCCATCATAGTGTGTCAGTTAAAGATTGGTCATTAATCTTGTGCCAGCACAAGATGGGTTGCCACGCCTTGTGCCGGCACGAGATTACTGACCCATCATAGTGTGTCATTTAAAGATTGGTCATAAATCTTGTGCCAGCACAAGATGGGTTGCCACACCTTGTGCCGGCACGAGATTACTGACCCATCATAGTGTGTCAGTTAAAGATTGGTCATTAATCTTGTGCCAGCACAAGATGGGTTGCCATATCTTGTGCCGGCACGAGATTACTGACCCATCATAGTGTGTCATTTAAAGATGGGTCATAAATCTTGTGCCAGCACAAGATGGGTTGCCACACCTTGTGCCGGCACGAGATTACTGACCATCATAGTGTGTCAGTTAAAGATTGGTCATTAATCTTGTGCCAGCACAAGATGGGTTGCCATATCTTGTGCCGGCACGAGATTACTGACCCATCATAGTGTGTCAGTTAAGACAGGTCATTTATCTTGCAGCAAAAAATGTGTTTTGCCATACAGTGCACCTTGTGCCAGTACAAGATTAATGACCTATTAACATGTCTGTTGCTTAGGGTGAAGGGATGTGTTGCTGATATATTGCTTGCTTGGTATTACATTTTCAACGTTTTGAAAAGTGCAATACTGCTAAATATGACAAGAAATCACAATAAATTTGCTTTACAATTTCTTAATTAATAACAAAGTAGCCCTTAGGCTATCTAAAATAGTTCATTCTACAAATACAAATTCTATAATTTATATGATATGTGAATTTAAATATAATGGCCTCTCTTAATAAATAATTTACAACTGTTATGACAATTTCTCAGGTGCAAGAATGTAGTTATCAGTTTCGCCACGAGGTGACAAGGTGGCTGATTTGGAGGAAATAACATGGCAGGAATACTACAAAATTCTCTTAAACTTGAATATTCATTAGTTTTGGTGTTTCACTTTTAATATTACCCTTATGTATCTCATAGTTATACAAATTAAAAATATGTCCAGAAATGAAAATATTATCTGCTTGACTCAAAAAAAAGATATTTCACTTTTTTTGATCTCACAACATGGGGTCTATCGTGGGAATTTCCCCGACCTAGAAGTGATATTTTCAAACAAAATTAAATTTTCAAAGTTGTTCAAATCTTTTTAAAACCACGTTTCTAGGTGTAACTTTACCTTCCATTCACAAAAAATGAAAAAAGCATGAATCTAATTACTCTGGCCTCACATTGCATCATGCGCCAATTAGATCCACATGCACCATTTATACAAGATGGCCTGATATGAAAATGTACTGTACAAATAAACATATAAAACAATGAAATAAATACATATTACGTACACATGGATTGGCATTAACAATTTATGTACTTTTTAGTAAAGAAAGGTTTGACAATTTATAGAGAATATGCACTGAATTTATAGATTAAGAGGATGGCAGTCATGTTTCAGGCATTGGCACTGAATTCATAGATTAAGATGATGGCAGTTATGTTTCAGGCATTGGCACTGAATTCATAGATTAAGAGGATGGCAGTCATGTTTCAGGCATTGGCACTGAATTCATAGATTAAGAGGATGGCAGTCATGTTTCAGGCATTGGCACTGAATTCATAGATTAAGAGCATGGCAGTCATGTTTCAGGCATTGGCACTGAATTCATAGATTAAGATGATGGCAGTTATGTTTCAGGCATTGGCACTGAATTCATAGATTAAGAGGATGGCAGTCATGTTTCAGGCATTGGCACTGAATTCATAGATTAAGAGGATGGCAGTCATGTTTCAGGCATTGGCACTGAATTCATAGATTAAGAGGATGGCAGTCATGTTTCAGGCATTGGCACTGAATTCATAGATTAAGAGGATGGCAGTCATGTTTCAGGCATTGGCACTGAATTCATAGATTAAGATGATGGCAGTTATGTTTCAGGCATTGGCACTGAATTCATAGATTGAGATGATGGCAGTAATGTTTCAGGCATTGGCACTGAATTCATAGATTAAGAGGATGGCAGTCATGTTTCAGGCATTGGCACTGAATTCATAGGTTGAGATGATTGCAGTTATGTTTCAGGCATTGGCACTGAATTCATAGATTGAGATGGTGGCAGTTATGTTTCAGGCATTGGCACTGAATTCATAGATTGAGATGATGGCAGATTTGTTTCAGGCATTGGCACTGAATTCATAGATTGAGATGGTGGCAGATATGTTTCAGGCATTGGCACTGAATTCATAGATTGAGATGATGGCAGATATGTTTCAGGCATTGGCACTGAATTCATAGATTGAGATGGTGGCAGTTATGTTTCAGGCATTGGCACTGAATTCATAGATTGAGATGATGGCAGATTTGTTTCAGGCATTGGCACTGAATTCATAGATTGAGATGGTGGCAGATATGTTTCAGGCATTGGCACTGAATTCATAGATTGAGATGATGGCAGATATGTTTCAGGCATTGGCACTGAATTCATAGATTGAGATGGTGGCAGATATGTTTCAGGCATTGGCACTGAATTCATAGATTGAGATGATGGCAGATATGTTTCAGGCATTGGCACTGAATTCAATAAAATATTTTTTTATATGTTATTATTGTTTGTTTAAGAAATATATTTTCATTAGCAACATGTTTCTCGACTACACAAAAGGGCTAATGGCTGTAATTCTCATCTTATTTAACCCATTAGCAATAGCAACATGATTTTTGTTAAATAGATAGATTGTTTGATCGAAAGATAAAGGAAGCGATACATATTCATAAATATAAACCTGAACTTAACAGAGACTTAGGATATAAGGTTTCCCCGAGTCTACTTGAGGTTGCTAGGTCAAAGATCAAGTCAAGGCCAAATCTACCAGTTTCCCGCCAAATTCAGACATCTTGAGAAAGGCAACAGGAGTTGTCGAAAGCTAGATAGTAATGCTATAAAAGGTTAGTGAATTGAGGAATTTTAATCTATTTAATCATACACCTAACCAATGAACAATTTCGTATATATATGATTTTTGTTAATTTGAAACTTGTCAAATGCTTTAAGTTTTAGCCTTTAAACTTTCAGAAATAATGTTTATATCGAAGTCTAGCAATTGTATTAGTTACTTATCAAAATAGTTTGTTTTATTGAGGTCCATATGCTGCCTTTTCAATATATGATTGACTTATTTGAACCCTTCAAACCACAGACTATCAAAATAATTTTGCAAGGATGCATCATCTAATGCAATTATCTCAAATTCCTTAGTACCAACAGAATCACAGTCTGAACCTGTGGTTAAATGTTCATTAACAAGTTTACGAATATTGATCGGCATTGAATCATCAATTTTAACCGCAATCTTCATCTCTTTGATGTTCTTTAGTAAATCCTCCATCTTGGATTTGAAAAATGAAGTGGCAGTTCTGTTTAACATGTTGCATATTATCTCAGCTCTTGTGAGGCACAATGATATCCTATGTACAATATCGCCTTGTAGTTGTTTGTCATATGCCTGGACAGTTGCGCTGAAATTTTCAGTTTTAATGTGGTTTGATGCACTTCTCATATTGGTTTGGTTTTGGCTGAGTCCAGCATTGTCAAGTTTATGTTTATAAATCCCAGCCAGCTTGTACCATAGGGTTGGATTATAAGAGTTCAAAACTAAAAGTCTCTGTATTGTAACACACTCCTTGTTAGTGTCATTACAGGACTGGAATATATCGAACATGAGAGTCAAAGTTGCTGTTTTCTGTTCCATGGTATCCCCCGATTCTTCATACAAGTTCGTAGCTATTTCCAAAGCTTTGTCATGCTCATTAAGAGCGATGTAACACCTGGCTTTTGCATCAAGAATTTCCTTCTTCATTCCAGAGCTGTTATAAAGCACATCAGTTATCATTTCAAGACAAGATTCATATGCTTCAACAGCAGTAGAAAAGTCCTTTTTCATATATGCAAAATCAGCTTTATATTTAATAATCTTCATCTTCTCTAAATCATCTAAGTTCTCTTCAATATTATCATTAAACCACTCAGAGCTACAAACTTTTGCATTATACGATTTGGGAATTACTTTAATTGTCTTTTCGGTTTCCTCAAATAACGAATTGTCGAAACCTGCAAAGTCAAAACAATGTCCAGTGGCTGGTGAAGTCAGTCCAATGGCATCAGAATTTGTTTCTGATCTTATATCATCCATTGTTTTTGAGGATTCTATTTGTGGTTCTCCTCCATGGTTCAATCCTCCATCACTTGATCCTCCACTGTTTTTCATCTGTAAGAATATGCAGTTTTCTTTTTTAGAATGACAGACATTTTTAACATTGTGAGTCCTTATAAGGCAACCTCTTCAGTCTTGTGGTCAAGAGATGAATTGACCGAATCCACATGATTCCAATAAGATTTCACCAAATCACTTTGTTTAAACAGGGATTACCGAGAGTTTACTACACCAGATAATTTTCATCCACATCGAAGCAATACCTTCAACAGTTTAAGTGGATGTTATTTGAATTAACCTAGCAATGTTTGCAACAAATAGTTACAAACTAATTGATTTTTATAGATTTCACTGTTATACCAAGGGTTTATTTAATAGCTGGGACTTAGTTTGTGTAACAAATGAAACGAAACAACATTACAGACAGTAGTTGAATGGGGTTATACTATCTCAGACCTAACCCTACTATCACACCAAACTAGTTTTCACTACGTTCTCGAAAACGGGCTTCAACTGTGTACGAACAGACTGGACGTACTTAGAACCATTTGGGGTCTATTTACAAACTTGATCGAATGTACTCGAACGGGTAGGTCCTCTAAAACTTAGAACATGCTCAAAATGTTCTCGTGGTCGATACGTTCTACAATTAGAACGAGTGACAACGTACTAACGACGAGCTGGACGTACTACGGACAGAACCGTTGGACTTCAATCCTACTGAGAACGTTTTAACAACGAGTTGCACTGTCTGAGGACGTATTGAGAACGATGTAGAACTAATTGCAAACGGGTTTAAACTGATTAAGAACGTATTTAAGACTGATTATAAACAAGTTAGCAAAAATATAGCTATCACATCAAACAAGTTGCCACTGCATTCTTCAAAACTGGTTTTAAACTGTTTGCGAACGGCTACAACCTTCTACGGTCTGTTTACGAACTTCATGGACTTTCCCGAACGGGGAATGTGATTTAGAATTTTGAACCGATTCAAAATTCGATGGCGACCATACCGTTCTGTAATCAGCTCATGATGACCTTCTAAACTAAGGAACGTGTTATACGACGTTGCACACCAACGCGATGCAACCTGAACGAACTGGGAATGAGATGGACGTATTGAAGACTGTTTATGAATGAAGTAGCTAATTATTTTAGACATATTTTCAGACTACAGCCAGATTGAGCTCGTTTTATGACGTTTTCATATGACTGGCAAGAATGGGGAAGAACTAGTTTGGTGTGATAGGGGGGTAAGCATATTCTTCCACACCGTTTTGTGGTTATTGTACTGTATATTGCAATATATTTCAATCTATTGACATCATTAGCTACATAATGGATTAAATTAAGTGTACGATAAATAAGGGTTAATACAAACAGAATAAACAGAAATGTACTTGAAGTGGCGATTTTCGCTAATCAGTGTCACCCTGCTCTATGGTGTGATAAGGTCATGTGATGAGTAAACCCTGTTGGTTTCCCGACAGGACAATCAAAATAGATATGGACAACCTTATAGCTAAAGGGGGGTTTCACTCACTGATCATCAGAAAATATTTAAACATAGCATACCCCTGTCTAATTTTCATCAGTTGATTTATAAAAAATACAAGACACACAGTGATAAATATCGCACTTTGAAGAGCAAACTGGCCACCATGCAATTTACCCAGCATGGCCAAAACCTAATCAGACCTTGGCACTAGTCTGCTCTTGCATCTGTAAACATTTAAAGTTGACAAGGTTAGCGGTTTTCCTGCAATTTTGATGACAAGAATTTATATGTAGTCTGGAACTTTGGGAAAATTTAGATAACATCGTTTGTGACCTAATTTGATGACCTTCGACCTTGAAAATTTAACTTTTTCAGACCTCAGTAGTTGTTTTGTAATTAAGCTGACCTAAATTTAAATCCAAAATATCAATTTAGAAAATCAACTTTTTTGACCTTTTCAAGGTCACTGAAGGTGAATGAAAGGTCAAATCTGAAATCTAAGGTCAGATTTGAACTTCTGAGAACTTGTAGATGTTTTTTAAAAAAAAAATTGGTCAATTTGGAGCAAGTTGAAAAATTCAAAATGGCCACCAAATTGAAAAATTCAAAATGGCCACCATGTAATTCAGCCAGCATACCCAAAACCTAATCAGATCTTGGCAATAGTCTGCTCTTGCATCTGTAAAAATTTCAAGTTGAACGGATAAGTGGTTTTCCTGGAATTTTGATGACAAGATTTGTTGAAAAATTCAAAATGGCCGCCACGTAGTTTACCCAGCATGCCCTAAACCTAATCAGATCTTGGCACTTGTCTGCTATTGCATGTGTAAAAATTTCAAGTTGAACAGGTTAGCGGTTTTCTTGGAATTTTGATGACAAGAATTGATTTGTAGTCTCAAACTTTGAGAAACTTGGATAACATCATTTGTGACCTAGTTTAATGACCTTGACCTTCGACCTTGAAAATTTAACTTTTTCAGACCTCAGTAGGTGTTTTGTAATTAAGCTGACCTAAATTTAAATCCAAAATATCAATTTAGAAAATCAACTTTTTTGACCTTTTCAAGGTCACTGAAGGTGAATGAAAGGTCAAATCTGAAATCTAAGGTCAGATTTGAACTTCTGAGAACTTGTAGATGTTTTTAAAAAAAAAATTTGGTCAATTTGGAGCAAGTTGAAAAATTCAAAATGGCCGCCAAATTGAAAAATTCAAAATGGCCACCATGTAATTCAGCCAGCATACCCAAAACCTAATCAGATCTTGGCAATAGTCTGCTCTTGCATCTGTAAAAATTTCAAGTTGAACGGATAAGTGGTTTTCCTGGAATTTTGATGACAAGATTTGTTGAAAAATTCAAAATGGCCGCCATGTAGTTTACCCAGCATGCCCTTAACCTAATCAGATCTTGGTACTAGTCTGCTCTTGCATCTGTAAAAATTTCAAGTTGAACAGGTAAGCAGTTATCCTGGAAATTTGATGACAAGATTTGGTTTATGTCCCGCCCGCCCGCACACCCGCCCGCCCGCCCAACAGCACAAGACGACGGCAATATAGCACTTTTTCAAAGTGCGATAATAAGCTAAAAAGCTGAATGCAAAATACACTGGATTTGTGAACGAGGTACTTTTTGGGTATTACATTTGCCCTTGGCTATACCAATAGTTGAAGCGCTTAATTTGTAAAATTTTACTTAATTGTGCAACCCCAGAATATTAAGTCCCTGGGATTAATCTCCTTGGATTCCCCCAAACTTGTGGAAAGTTTGGCGGTTATACAGGAATAAATTGCCAAGGCAACTGTTTACAAAATCTGATTTTTTCCACAAAATGACACAGGAATCCATTTTTGGAACTGTCATAACTTACAATTTTAGGCCGTCCAATTGTACCACAATTTTGTCACACATTTGCTGAAGAAATTGACGTTAGGCATCTATTATGATTATAGTCAAGCAAAATTATTTCTGGAGAAGAACATCAAAAAATGAATATGATAATTGTGGACTCAACTACACGAAAAGAATGCTAAAATACCAAGGAATCTATTGAAGTAGGTACATGTATCTTAAGTGTAAGAGGCATAGAAAATTCTCCCATGTTGTAATCGTACAGGCAAAAGATTGAGACATTCTCAGGACTATAGTCCTGGCACTAGTCTATATCCAATTATAGACTGAATATCCTGAGATTCAGTCTACTGATCATCATGTCCCTCCCGTGGGAAAAAACAGGAAATTTTGTGCACAAAATTATCAATTTTAGGAAGCTTCACTTCCCAAAAATAAACATTATAACAATTCAATTAAATAGTAAGGTACAATTAAATGCTATAAAAAGTAACACAGCATGTCGTCAAATGGAAATAAAGCTAGGTGAAGTAACAAATATGCGAATAAATTTACTCCATCGACCATTTTGAATGGCACTTCCTATGTAAACAAATATTTTTCAATCCCAGATTTTAAGATATGTGGGCAATAGTCCAAATTTCAAAAAATTTCAGACTAGAGGATATAGTCCTGGCAAGGGATAAAAAAAAGTACAAGTGAGATATAGTACCATAGTGAATAACTGAGTAACCTTACTCGAGTCTCTAGCTTACAGATAGATGTGACTTCATTGATTTCGTATGTAATCTAGAAAAAGTGTCACACGCACCTAGAACTCCTATTTAATAATTCTTATAAATATTTATAAGAATATTAATTATATTTAAGTTGAAGCGTTGCTTGTCTGGATTAAGATATTTCAAAATTTCATTTTGGAAATAACCTCAAACTCAACTGATCCGCCATTTATTAGGGGTGGGACGGATAACCGAAATACCGAAAAACTGTGGTTCATAGCCTTCGGATCGGTTTTCGGATCACGGCCCTACTTTCGGATCAGCTTTTCGGATCGTTTTCGGATTAATATTTCATTGGCCAAGTATCAATAAAACAGTTAAAAACACTGTTTTACAGCAACATTTTTGATATTCCTAGTCCCTACCTTGTCTGTCTTGTCTGTTGCTAGCTCACTCGTTTACTAGATTCGTTTCGTATCCGCGTATTCATATCCCTCGGTAATCAATCATGTGGTCCCTGGTACAGTGGACATATTAGTTTTTCTAAAGGAAAACATGAAAGTGTAAACTCACTAAACTTACACAATCATGACTTCCTCTGTAAAAAACGCATCACAGAAAAAAGGTTTCTACAAGCATAAATTAGTCATTTTATTGGTTGTATTTAAAGAAAGTGACAGTCAGCAGTGAAGTCAGAGACAAAGCAGCTAATCATGTCAATCAATACAAATCCTTAAAATGAATGAACCGAACCGAAAAAACCGAACCGACGGCTGATGATCCGAAAAACCGAACCGAACCGTCCCATCCCTACCATTTATACAGCTGGAGGCCATTTTGAAATGAAATTCCACTTAGCTAAATCATATATATAACAATCATTTAAGACGGGGATATGAGCTGATATTCTGCAGATGTATGCATAAAGGTACATGTATGTTTCATATATTAATTATGCCGTAACTGTGTGTGTGTCACCATGATTTACAAATATTGAATACCAGGGCGGCTGTAACAATAACTCAAAGCCGGAATATTGAGAAGGCTTTGGACCTAAGTAAGTAACCAGTGTCCAAAGGCAGCATTATAGTGCCAATAGTGTCACACGGACACTAAAAGGATCAAGAAGAAGAAATTTGTGTGCAATATGAATATATTTTTCTATACATTATTGCACAATAGTCTTTAGATTTCTTATTTTTCAGGTTCAACGGCTTGCCTCTGAATCAGTTTAACAGACTATAGGCCCTTCTGTAGGCTAGCCTAAGTCTAAAACGTTTAGGCTTTTGTAGCCTGTAGCCTAGGTTTGATATTTATTTGAGATCCGAGAAAAAACTACAGCCATTTACAATTTTCTTCTTCTCTTCTTCTTTTAAAGTACAGACTCCTCATGCCTAAACACTCAACCAACGATCTAAATTATAAATCTGCACAAAGTAGTTTACTTAAACTTACCCTGTACACAATGTTTAGGACAAACAGATCCTCGTTTAAAGCATAAATCAACAAAACGTGGAAAAGTACAATTTTCACATTATTTTCAATAGCTGCTACCGGATTACGCTAGAAGAGACTCTTTGATTAGCCAATTTACTTTGACCTACTTAAAATTGCGCTAAATTTGAAAGTTAGGTAAAACTTTGATTGTCCTTTGCATTACCGGAAGTTGGAAGATATGCCCCGGATCCAGCGGGAAGATATGCACCGAAGCAGGAGATATGGCGGGAGATATGGATGGAAACCTCAAAATCAGGATACGGGCCGGGATATATCTTACCAACTTATCTCCCTAAAACTCTACTTGGCATAGGATAATATATTTTATATACATTTGAGATAATTCAAGATGAGTATCTGAGGTTCTTATGATATATATATCAAATGGGAGTTTATAAATTCAGTTTAAAAAATGTTACAGATCGTAACATATGTGCAGGGGACCGTTTTAAAATACAGTTAATTTAAAAAAAAGCATGTAATTTCACTTGCCAGAACTAACACGCCATCTTTTATTGGAATTCAAACGAGTCTTCTTACTAGTACGCCATCTTTTAAAGAAACACATTGTAAAATGGCTCTATGATATGTCATCTTTGCACGCTCGGTCTTAAAACTCTGTTCCGAACTTCCGACCCACGGGAGCCGAGTGAACGAAGACTAGCTTTGCATATTACAGGCCTATCATGAGTATTAGACACGTATGCAATGTTGGTTGTGCATTTATTTATAATACTCAATGCGACTCACAAATTGTAGGGTGAAAAAGGTGAAAAATATTTCAGTGGAAGTTGAACTGTTAGCTGCAAAGTTGTAGTGGGCCGGATCAGAAAAAGAACGTCTTTCGGTATTTAACATGAAGATCATGAATCTTATGATATTTTGGTTTATATAAAGTATGTATTCAATGATGTATTCTGTACGTGACCTTATTTGGATCGGGCGTACTTGAAAACGCCATTCACATCCAGCACGTTTCCATCGAATTATTCTACCCAGATCCAAAACACGCCACATCCTAACCGCTATTTAGAATTACTCGATGCAGTATATTTACGAACAGTCGAAGTCTCTCTGGCTTTAATTTCAATATAATGCATGATTTGGGACCCTATGAACATCATTTGGAATAGCCTTGATTGTTAGTCCTTTGAGTAAATACAGTTATTTTCATCCTCTGATGAGGGATCATGTTTAACTACCTATCATTTATGTTCTAATGACATCGAGGATCAGCGTCCTTGGTGTGGGGTTTAACGTTTGCATAATGCATGAGGAGGGGGACCCACGGAGACTTGAGAAACACTCTTTTGAATACAAATTCGAAGATATCTCAATCGATACAAAAACACGTGCGTTCCATCGATCTAAAAGTGATGTTTCAAAAAGTCCTAATTTCAAAGATTGTTTGATAAACTGGGAAAAAACGCAACGTTATTACTTTAAGTATTAAAGTGGGGTTTCATAACTTCCATGAGCTTGTTTCATTGCCAAAAATAATGGAACTTTTACTCCAGGGACAATTTTTACGTCCATCATTTTGATATCAATAGATTATTACATATTTGCATCGGGTAATCACACTTTTTTCTTTTATTCAAAAATCACAGTTCCAATCGCTAATGGTTAAGTTTCGATGCGGACTTTTTCCGCGGGGCCAATTTCTACGTTTAATATCTTTTTGTTTACATACTCGGGCAAACGCACTCTTAGTTTCTTTCAAAAGTCACTTGTGCTAATCGCAAAAGTTAAATACATCAAGTGTTGAGGAGCAATATTTTGTAAAAGCGTGCAATTCATAATTGGCTATACGAGGGTATGTTTGTCGATCATGCCGTTACTCAGGAAAACGGGTAAGCAACAATCACTCGGGCTGACGCTTTGAATTATTGCTCGTAAAACCTACGATTGAAGTACTGTCAAAAACTACTTTATATTACTATAATAATCAACACGTGTGTGAGATGTAAGTCCATTCGTGGCATTCAGGTCACAAAGATCGGCTTATCAGGTACTAGTTTGTGAAGATACAGATTTACGATGCAAGCGACTACTGTATGATGGCGCGAGCCGAAAGCGCGTGCGAACCTGTCAAAAATTGTAGATATCATCGTACTCCTTCCAAGGCGTTTTTGATATCAAATTGATTTTTTCAAGTTTTAAAAAGTGAAAACATATGTTCACATAGTACTTTCTGGATTTTTAAACATTTTTGTTTTATTTCAAAACATATGTTTATCAATTTCTAATTACTAGTTATTAGCAACTCTAAAAATGGGTCGTTGGGAGAAGATAACATATGTTTGATTATCACTATAGCAACCCAGCACCAGATAATAAAACACCATATTAGTACTTATAAATTGTATTCTACCGACTGCCATATGTCATTATTGAAAAACTGATCTTCAAATTACTTTGAAACATTTAAACTTCCACAAGATCCTCATCCTCATCCTCATCCTCATCCTCATTCTATCATCATACCCTCTGAAAGCAGTTTAATGCCGAGCCTCTCATAGAGGACGTCAGCTTCTACAATGCTTTTATTGTTTAGCCGCTTATTTTCAAGGTCACAAGACGTAATCCTCTGTAAAAAGGGATTTATTTTTCTCTGCTTTGGAGATCATAATTGCTCTAAACAAATGAGAGCGGGCCTTTATCTCTATTTACATTGAAGAGACTTAACAATAAGACGAAGAATGAAGATCATAAAACGCAATTCATATATCATTGGAAAGTACACCCCCCCGTCAAACGCTGCCAAAATTGGACAATCGAAGGAATCCAGGACAATAATGGAAGAATCCAAGTCTCTCCTAGGTGAATGACGCCAAAATGGTAACGTTGAAAAGAGGCGCTGTATTCTTCAAAATAGCCACACATACCTGAACCTACACTTCAAAATAGCCACATATACCTGAACCTACACTTCAAAATAGCCACATATACCTGAACCTACACTTCAAAATAGCCACATATACCTGAACCTACACTTCAAAATAGCCACATATACCTGAACCTACACTTCAAAATAGCCACATATACCTGCCCATACACTTCAAAATAGCAACATATACCTGAACCTACACTTCAGAATAGGCACACATACCTGAACCTACACTTCAAAATAGCCACACATAGCTGGCCTACACTTCAAAATAGTCACATATACCTGAACCTGCACTTCAAAATAGCCACATATACCTGAACCTACACTTCAAAATAGCCACATATACCTGAACCTACACTTCAAAATAGCCACATATACCTGAACCTACACTTCAAAATAGCCACATATACCTGCCCATACACTTCAAAATAGCAACATATACCTGAACCTACACTTCAGAATAGGCACACATACCTGAACCTACACTTCAAAATAGCCACACATAGCTGGCCTACACTTCAAAATAGTCACATATACCTGAACCTGCACTTCAAAATAGCCACATATACCTGAACCTACACTTCAAAATAGCTTCATATACCTGAACCTACACTTCAAAATAGTCACATATACCTGAACCTTCACTTCAAAATAGCCACATATACCTGAACCTACTCTTCAAAATAGCCACATATACCTGAACCTACACTTCCAAGTAGCGACACATTCCTGAACCTACACTTCCAAGTAGCGACTCATACCTGAACCTACACTTCAAAATAGCCACACATACCTGAACCTACACTTCCAAGTAGCCACTGTACATATACCTGAACCTACACTTCAAAATAGCCACACATAGCTGGCCTACTGGATCTTAGACTAACATCACCAAACATCACCAGGATTTGAAATGTTATCCTGTTGCAATTTACGGTTGCCAAACTTAGGATTGTAATTTAAAGAACACTTTAAAGCTAAGTGCTGCTAACAAATAAAGGAGATATTTAAGTTGAGAGGGCCTCTGTTTCCATCCACCCAAAATATTTCAATAAACAAAGATTCCAATGATTCTGTCACAGGTACGTATCCTTGGATCTCCTCGAGGAGCCGAAAATTAATTTGCAATTTAGAGATTTCGCCAAGTGGCCAATTGAGGTTGATATCGTGCCGCCGATGTAACATTACGGCACTATCAGTTGTAGTAAACAATTCAAGATGTTTACGATGGCGGGTTATGAATGAAATCGTCAATAGTTTCGAATCTTAAGTGGCTTTGTTTACGTTCATGTAACAGATCGTAAATAGCCCGATCGAGCAATCGCTCTTTGAAGTCCAAAAACGTGTATTCTCAATAACCATGGGACGCAAACGTAACGTTCAAAATCAGAATATACGTGTAAGCAAGAAAGTTGAATTAAAACCGATGAACAAATCATTTTTCCTCGTTTAAGGAATATTATGTTTTCCATTTTATGTAAGGGAATGTAATTCTATATTTAATGTAAGGGAATGTTGTCTCTAGACAATTCAGACAATCGGGTAGAATTCTTCACTTATCAACATTGCCTCAAATTCACAGTTATTGATATGCACGTAATATTGCTAACTTTGATGTGAATACACGCAGTAAGTATCTACAAAGTGGCGATAAACTGAGATAAACTCGAGATGTCTTTCATAACGCGTGCTCGATTATAGATTGTCAATCCTCTTTAGACGCGTGCCTTAAGTGGGTGAATTTTGTTATTGACAAATTATCACTTGAACGAGTTCTTTCATCTCGTCACCTGTGTGATATTTATTACATGAATATAAGCTATTGAGAGACTAGGTACATTTTATTGTGTTTTAACGGTTATGTGTCATTCATTCGGAAGTCCGTCGGAATGCTGCTGAAGTTATCCACCCGGTTATTCACATGTGGAATTACAAAATTTTACCACGGATATCGATTGTGTAGTTTATGTCATGTTGTTGTTTATTAAAGGAGCAGTGTTTCTAATATGAAACAATGTTTCACGTTTTGATCGAAGTCTATATGTTGCAACATATTGCAAAGTTAAGTCAAAAACATTTTGGGGTGAACTGGGGATCAGAATTCAGAATTGCGGAAACTGCCCCTTTAAGACAACACGTTGCCTGTCAAAAATTGATAAATGTGACGTCCTTTTTCTCAATTCTAAAGTATTTGGACATTTCATAAATTGTTACTTCTTAATTTTCTACATCTATATCTGATCATATACAGAACTTCAATCATTTATGTTTAAAAACATACATACGGACAACAAATAAAAATAATTGATTTCTTCATTCTAGCTAAAATCAGCAGCGCAACGAAACCTAGCAGGCTGAAAGAATAAAATGTTTTGCATCTTGTCCATGTAAAAATAAAGCCAATAAGACATTGATCGAACGTGGACACGGTGTATCTATCAGCCCTAATTATTAGACCGGCATCTTTTGTGGTATACGACCAGTGCTCTTAGCGTTAATTACCATTCCCCCACCCGGGCCCCCATCCCTGGTAGATTCAAAGACCCAGGCCAGATCCTCAACTGTGAATACTTCACAACCCAAAGACAAGCGCACCAATACCAAAGGCAATCCCATTATTGTATCTCAGAATCATCCTTTGTTGAATAAAATTGAAATCTTATCGAGCTACTTAATTTTAATGATGATTTTCGGGTAACTAAGCAAAAAGAAGTGAATGATTCTCCTTTCATCGGTCGTGCCTTTCAATGCTAAATACAGTCCGACAATATGTTGAACGGGTTCATGTGCCATAACAGGTTCTCAAATAACAATAGAAACTATCTTGAAACGTATTAATTTAGAGACCTTCTGACCTCCCCAATCCTGCCCTAGTGACCACCCCTACAAGCGGCATTATTTTCCCATTGTCTGGATATGACAATAAAGGACTTTAAAATTTAAGTCAAATTGAATTTTCAAATTTTAAATGGCAGTTATCAAATGTTGCAGCCGTATAGGATGGGAATTTGAGAATGAGGAAGTTCGCCAACATTCATTGTTAGTGTGGCATGTCGCTCTCCGTAGTTCCCGGGCTGTAGTCAAATACTATGACAACGTGATCCAATCATGCAATCATATGAACACGTGTGACGTCATTCTAAAGGGTGAGCAGAATATGAACTCCCGATTCTCAATGCAATTTGACATTTTCCTTTATTTCAGTTTCATCTCTGTTTTATGCCAAAACGTTTACTTTAAAAGAATTTAAAATTCAGTAATGACGCAACGCAAGTAATGACACGCGCCCGTGCTGGCAGTGTCACCTTTCACGCTTGTGTATTTCATTTCAACACATACCGATTTTATGCAATTAAACAGTCAGAAAATTAAAGGAAGCACACCTCAATGGGATTTTTCAAATCAGGAAATTAAAGGTTTTAAATGAGGTTTAGCAGGACTTAGCTATCCGACTCCCTAAATTGAAACGTGATACGTGGTGAGATTTCACTATCCGAGACGTGCTTAACTTAGCGGGCATCGCGACCAGATTGTGTTTTTCTTGACCAAACACCCTGTTTATGTTGAGATCTCTCTTTGTCGGCCTTTTGTCTCTGCGGGATGGTGTCAGGTTAATAGGATAATCTCTTCCTTAAAAACATAGTTGGGTCGGCGACCTGGTCGGTACATTATAACCCCCCCCCCTCCTCCCCAATATACACACAAATGGGAAGACTTTGTACAATGCCATTAATGATGGCAAAGTAAAGTTTCCTGACGCAGATTATGGCCTCACAAATCCTCTTACAGCTGAGCACAGACATAAAAGATGAACGTTGCAATTTTTGTGGATAATTTTGAACAATACTCACAACTATAGACTAATACCTATTCAAGATGCGCTGAATTCATGCGCATAGAATCAAATATTGGATGTTGCCCCTTTGTCTTTGTCATTTCTGATCAGTACCAGCAACACGCGCTCTCATGTCCAACATTGTCCAAAGATATGTTATTCTATTTTAAACTTGTCAAGTTCAGACTAATATTTTGACACCCCTAGTATGTCTTCACGCGACAGTTACGCAACGTGACACCTCCCCGCAGTGAATTGAAAACTGAACCCCGATTGCTCTTTTCTCCCCTGGTATCCCCCGCTGTTTGAAATAATTGCACTTTATGCCAAAATATTATCACCGCAAACTACACTCCTTTCCATAAATTTGGCAAAATATTATCACCGTAAACTACACTTCTTTCCATAAATGTGGCAATCAGAAATCTCACTATATCAAAATCTGTTTAAAAAATCATTAACGTTGACACAAATGTTCGAACTATTGTAAGTAAGTTACAACAAGGTATTGAAATATTCAAGCATCGACACGCTTTGATATTCTGCCCCATGAGGATTTTCGACTTACGGAGGGGAGTGTATCTCAATAATGTCAATGCGAAAGGGAAATGAGGTAAATAACAATAGGGGTGTTTGATAACCTAAACGATGACCACACGAATATGTCTAGGTAAATAAAACAATTTGAAGGCTTATCTAAGATTGCAGCACAAATGATTCAAAGCGACCCGGGGCTGCCTCGTGCCACACGAGTCTCCTCTGGGTCAATCTTAATAACAACAATTATATGTATTATTGGCCGTTTCTGAAGGTTGGTGACTGATTCCAAAAGAGCAACCTGTGTTGGGTAACTTAATGTAAGAAGTGATCATTAAATTTTATTTGTATTATTTAATTCAAGGGTTGGGCTTCTCGTGACATTTATTGAGCGCATAGGTTATTTTACTTAATAAGTTATTTTTTAAGAAGTCAAACGAATGCGCATAATGACAATCAAGGCTTCGCATTTTTAGACAAAGAATATTCCGTGATTGCAGGGCTGGCCATGGTCATTTATATACATTATTGATAGATGAATAATAAAAATGTTGACTTTTTGATAAGACGGACCTTCTAAAGTTATTCAATCTCGATTCTGTAAAAGTAATAAAATAGATTAAAGTTAGCCAAACATTTCCATACTTTTAACTATATTCTAAATGCTCGTCATTGTTAAATTATTTACTGATGGCAGTTAAACGCTACCATATTATAATGGTATGGTATTTGAACGCTACCATGTTATTATGGCATGGTAGTTTAACGCTACCGTTGGCGCAACCAGACATGAAGCAGGCGAGGAAAATGCCTCTCAATTTGCCTCGCCTATTGTTATATACTGGCTACACTCATAGGTGCAATTTGAATAATTCTCGATTGGGTTTTATCTGTGCTATAAGTTTGAGTTTTGTCGTTGCGTGATAAGACAGCATGAGCCTGATGTAATTGAATAATCCGAATTACAATCAGAAATTATAATATATCTATTATACCTGTTCTAATCCTGTGGCTTTAATGATACGTTGTCTTATCACGCAACCTGTGGCTTGATCAAAGAGGATCAAACACTAATGGACAACTATTGTGTACAATTAAGACGTCGGGCGTTCTTTGATCCCTTTGATCTTGTTGTGATCAACTCAATTGATCAACTTGATCATATCTCGGGTTAAGTGGATCACGACACTTAAGTAGAATGATCACTTTATTGATCACTTAATGTAGTGGATTGTGTTGATCTCCGCTGCGATTGATTATGGTGTTTTGTCACGAATCTAGAGATTCTGCATATCAGTTATTGTTCTTTCCTCGAGTCTAATATACGTCGTACACTCCACTAAATTAATGTCAATATTTGTTCTCTTTCATTTGTATCAATATTTGTCTGTGTTTATTTATGTCAATATTTGTATTTTCAGGCAGTCCAGTTCCAAGTGGAGATGTCAATCGAAGTGAAGAAGTCGACATTTTACTGAATACTATAGTATTGTCTTTATACTGAATACTATAGTATTGTCTTTATACAGGGTGTTTATTTTGTATCTTGTACATTCAACTCAATATAATATACAGGGTGTTCCAAAAGTAACAGGACTGGTGCTGGCATTTTGTAAAATATTCACCAATCGTCTTCAAAATTTTATATAGTGTAATTTTATGTATCGTTACTAAGACTGCCAAGTTTCGACAAAATATATGCAACTCGGGTAGAGTTATAGTTGCTATAGTAACATGACATCGCAATACCCGGGGCAACATTCCACGCAAAAAGTTACAGAGACATTGAGCATTTTGTACATCCCATATCATTTTCTACATGCCATATCAAAGTTGAAATGCAACAACTGGTGGGAATTACATTTGTTTTACATCATTTGATATTCCTATGTATCCTCTACTTTGAAAAATAGGCTACTCTTTGGTCAGTGCAAGAGTAGTACTCTGTATCCATGAGCTAAACACATGAGTGAACCCATTTGAGGACATGTCACGCAGGGTAGATTGGACAATTTGGAGAAGGTCATTCTCATCTTTAAAGGTCTTACAGCACTGATTAGCATTTCGTTCTCAATATAAGTAAAAACTTAGAAATTGCATGATCAGAAGAGTATGATGGTTTAGACCTCAAGACCTAGATCCCCTATTAGCTGCAGTGGTCTTTTATGGAGACCTGCGGGCAGGCGCGCTATCAAGGTGGATGACTGGCTTCAAATTGGGTCTTTTCAAAGATTCAACCGTGAATTGTTCAGACTGTTATACATAGTGATATTCCAGGAAATAAAATAAATATTATTATCATTATGAAATTATACTTGAATCTGAGTTGTATAGCAACATCTTTACAACAAAGCAACTAATAAAATATACAAGAAATTTTGTATTATAATAGGTGAATTAGATACTTTCTTCAGTAATACAAAAATGTTAGATATCGGATTTTCAGGAAAAAAGTTGCCCCGGGTATTGGGATGTCATGTCACTATAGTAACCATAACTCTTACCGCATTCCATCATTTTTTCTGAAACTTTTCAATTTTAGTTGCAATACTTCAAAGTGCAATTTGTGAAAATTTGAAAACACTTAGTGCAAAATTGACAAAATGCCAGCACCAGTCCTGTTACTTTTGGAACACCCTGTATCTCATTTTCCTTAATTAGGTCTATGTTGCTCATCGTTAAATTGGTCATTATCTGTCTTCGCTATTTATGTCAATATCTGCATTTTCATGCAGTCATGTGCAAAATGCCAGTAAGCGAAGTAGTTCCTCGTTCTCCAGATGTTATAGTATTCGCTATCCCAACACAAGTGTTGCAAGTTAGTGGGGCCATTATATCTTTATATTGGCACGTTCTCTTTATAGCATTGGTAAAATAAAAACTGTTGGAAAGGACATTACACTGCTAAAATAACACAACTTCATTAAAATCTAGATCTATTAAAGTAAATGTAGGCATCTTTTGGTTGAGATCAGTCTTGCTTCAAGACCCTGGACCCCCCCCCCCAATCTACTGTAACATCAGTAACTTGAAACAACACTTGGCTGAGAAAATGAAGACAAGAGCTACTGCATGAGTTGACGTCAACCAACATATCACACCCACTTTGTGTATATCGGATATAATAGAACGTGTTGATGAGCAAATACGTTGTCATCATAATTATCAATACGACAATCAGAGAAATGCAAGTGCTAATTAACCTCTCTTTGAAACACACATTTCTCATTTAGTTTGCCGTGGT